ATTAACCAACTTGTTTTAATAACATATTTTAATAACATATAAAATACATTTTCATGAATAAAACCAAGAACAAAACACATACATTTACAAAATACAGCATTCAAATGTACACGAGAAAAGGTCATAATGATCCCAAAGAGAGGAAAGTTTAACACTGTGGCCACATTGATAAATGTAATACAATGTAGAACATAAAAACTAAGACATGAAGGAACAAAGCAACTGGAAGAAAAAGATCATTACTTTTAAAATTCTTGTATAATTTAAATAATTGTTTTAATGTACCAATATAGGTTCTACAGATCTAGATCTGCCCTTCAAGATAATGTATTCACATGTTGATGAAACCAAGTTCCCTGCTTCTGCTGGTGTCAGGAATGCACCTCCAAATTAGGGAGGAGAGATACTTTGAATGTAGAGGTAAATATCCAGCAGTGGGTCATTACATCCCTCTGTTTTCTGGTTTATGACCTCCGCTGGTGCTGAAATTACAGCTGCCGAAACCTACAGTCTATTGTCTTTCATAATTGAGGGGCTGATGTTACCTTGGTCAGCACCTATTTAGTAAATGTGCCTATTTGTGTTTGGATAGTCAGATACACTTCAGCCAGGTGCAAAGGAAGCAACTGCTCCAGGAATAATCTCACAAATCACAGGTGCCAGTTCTGCAAACATTGTAAGTGCTCGAGAAGGCACACAGTGGTGAGTTCCTCACCGTTGGGAAAATTCAAGGTGTCTTATTTACTAAGAAACAGACCCAACAATGACCTCCGTCTACAACGGAATTCTGTGGGATACCTTGGGATCTTGGACTGTGCCAAATTTAACATTAAAAGGACCATAAACTTTGTTTCAGAAAATCAGTGAAGCAAACTACAATTTGTTTAATAGTCCAGTTGTCAAAACAATAACTAGTCATAATAACAATAGTAAATTATATAGAGAACTTCTAAATGGACCCAAAGCACTGTTGTAATAACTGACATGAATGCAAATCTTGATTCCTGTATCTTATATTTACTTTGGTTTGTTTTGTACCCATCAGCGGGCTTTGAGATGGAATCGATCCAAATCATTGTTACCTTTAGAATCAGTCAATGGGGACTCAAGTAGGCCAAGTCTTTGCACAACTTTCATATAGTAAACTTGTCAAGTCACAGCGTCTTGCTTTCGCTGGAGCAGAACTGACATGTGAATGTTGTTTCTGGACTACATATAACTAAAGGATGGTGTTAGGTCTAAAGGATAATGCTTTAGACCTAAGGATGGCAGTGTATCATGAAAATGTAGTCAAGAGCCGTCTATAATGCCAAGCTAAGCCATCACAAGACTAGTTGTTTAGATCACATCCCAGGATGTAAATGAATCAATCAAAAATGCATTTTTTTTGTACTGTAGTACATGTTTGTACTTATAGATGCAATGCAGTATAGTGGAATGATTTATGTAACCATGTACTGGGGGCTATCATTTAAAACTATTCAGCATCATCCTATGTTCAAGTTTTACGATCTCCTTTAACCCCTTTCAGTTCTCAACCCTATGAAAAGACAACCAAGCACCTGTGAAAATCTAAAATCATTTAATTCTATTAAATTGCCTACTATGTGTGATGGAAAGTTTTTTTTTTAACTTTACTTAGTTTGAACTCATTTTTTTTTTTAATAGACAGAGGAAAGCAAAGTATTAAAATGCACAAATGATCACATAGGTGATAACAATTGCATAACGCATTATACAGATTTAGGATCAACACCATCCTTTAGTTATTCTCTAAGTTAATAACACCACCTTTTTTTAACCCTATTAGCATTCCTAATTATTAGCAGCGTTTAATGGGGGTGAATAAATGTTCTAAATCCGATATAAAAATGGGCAAAAAAAAAAAAAAAAGGTTCTGTGAGTATCCTTTACTCACTTATAAAAGAGGCGATGGAGCTCAGTACTGGTGCGTACATTAAAAAAGCCCCTTGCACATTAGTGTATGTAAATATACCTAGGAGCAATGTTTGACATAAGTGGATGGGTATTAATTATGCATTCTGCCTGGCAGAGCCTTTAAGTGCTGCCCAGCAGCACGTGAATTTAACAGGGTCTGGGAGTGAGATCAAATAACATATCACTGCAGTTCCTTTGGGATCCTAGTCTTGCTTAATTAATTAATTTCACACTAGGAGCGTAGGATTTCCACATATTGTGAGGCAGCACTTATAAATTCTATATTCTGGTGGGCAAGGTTTTCTAAGTGTTATTGAAAGAAAGAAAAAAGAAAAATCTCATGGCATAATGCCAAATTCTGCCTGGGAAGAAATGTGATGAGAAAGAAGAAATTAAAATGATCCCCTCATTAAAACACTGCTTTCTAGCTCCAAGATTTCCAAATCATACTCAATTAAGGGGATGTACTTTGTTCTAGGAAACTCCAGATTAAGAGTTGTATTGCCAGGTATACTCTGAATTCTAGTAAATCGAAATCCAAATAGCAACATTTAGGCGAACAAATTCTCAAACACCACTCTAGGCACACATTGACACAGAGCCTAAATTTGACCTTTTTGCATTGCAATTCACAAAGAAAATCAGAGTTGAGTCAACAACCCTGTTAACCCTTTCTGTGCACCCACGCTACCCACATGTTTGGAACGCACAGTGAAGTGACCTCGTCGCATGGCGTCAGTAGGGAAGGAAGTGCACTGCATCAAGATTGACGAGGATTCAAAAACTCTAAATTTAGGAACAGATTTCGTGCACCATAACCATTTTTATATGGCGCAGCAGTTATGGTGCTTGCTGGGTCCTTTATTCAAGGAGGAATCCTAGCGGAAGTGCATGGTTCAGTCGAGCAAGTTCTCTTTTGCAGCAGATCGATGCTCTGCAGCAGACTATTTCATGTGCAACCCATGGCACAATATGTGCCCAGAAAAAAATGGCAGATGCAGCACCCTGCCTCCCATTGCAACTATTATTGAACGGCATAATGCCAAAACCCTTTGTCATCGGCAAATAACTCCATGTAGTAATTTCTTTTTTTATTAACATGTTTTAAAACAAAAAGCAAATACAAAACCATAATCACTGTGTGACAGCATTCCGCCGAGGTGCACTTGATACTTTGTTTTCCAGGAATCATGTTTCAGGCCAGCATGCAGCACATGAGAATGTTACACTATGGTCTGCAGCATTCATATACTGGAGGAAGGAGAGAAGTTTATTATTCGGTGAGGGTCCTATCAGTTCACGGATTTTCCTCCTGTGAATATGTATCTACAACAGGACATCACTTTTCCTGCAGTGCCACACAGCACGACCACATGATGTTTGTCACAATGGATCCTACAACTTTAATTCAGGCAGGAGATCAGGAGGCCTTAATTAAGCTTGTCTGACCACCTTAATTGCAGCTTGTTAAAAACGTCTTCCTAGGGTTGTCTATTCACAGCAGCTACAACTTCTACACACCTGCAGAGTTATTTACTAGACTTTGAACTGCAGTAAATTAAGAGCTAAATTACAGAATTTAGGCTTGAATAGCCGAACAGCGATTCTGAGTTGGAAATCTTTGGGTTTTTTAACAGATCAGTTCAGTCTTTAATTTGCTACAATGCAGAGATTAGTGAATAAACTCCTAAATTATTAATTGTTGGGAATTTTAAATTATAGGACAAATTAGCCAAATCTGAAAACACAGCTGTCTGGGGGAATTTTTCCAGTTTGGGTAATGTTGCCTAAAATTTGAAATTCACTAATGTCCGCAGCGTAGCAAATTAAAACCTGAATGGCTAAACTGAGACTAAAATAGACCGAAAAAAAAAATAAAAAAATAAAAATCGACCAACTCTGCTCAAGTCACAGCTTGGCTAATGTAACTAATTTTGCCATGGAGATTTTAAAAGGAACACTCCAAGCACCATAACCACTACAGCCAGCTGTAATTTTTATAGCGCACCGTGTGACCTGGCACCTTCTCAGAGTAGAGTAGAAATTAAACCGTTTAAGAATGGTTTGACAATTTCCCTGGGTCTCACTGTTGCTTACACCCCCCACAATTGAGGTGCTGGCATCTACCTGGCAAGAGGTAAGTTGTCAAACTCTTCTTAAACAGCGTAAAGATCACTCCTGACACCATAACCACTACAGTGGGCTGGTGATTTGAGTGTTTTCTCTAATATGATACCATTGGGACTTTGGTGAGTAAAAACCCTTTGGCAACTCACACTTCAGTGAATAACCATGCAGGACTCTATATAATGGAGTAATTTAGCTCTGCAAACAGGATACCTACTGTGATCACTTATGTAATGTATCTCCTGCTTATAAATCAATCCCCAGTCATAGAGCAAAAATAAAAGTATAGAAAAATGCCTGTTTGGTTTGACTGTCGCTTCCTCTCATGGCACAAGTTAGCACAAGCTGCCTTCCTTGTCTTGTTGTGACTGGCACCTGATCTGTCTGTTGCCAGCTAATCCTAACTTCCTACCTGTCTCATTCACCTTAACACAGCCTTTTTTTTTTTCCTCCTTTTGCGGTCATTCTTTTAAAAAGTTCTCAAGTGTATTAGGGTTAGGAGGTGTAACCAACATCATATGACCAGCCCCTGATTCATGAATATTAAAAAAAAAGGAAGAAAAAAAAAAAAGAGAGAGAGAGAGAGACAGCCATGCCTACCCCTCTGTCTCTCCCCCTTCCATGCTTTGTGTTGCTCCTCCTGCAGGCTGTGCATAGATTAAGCAGTCAGTCACTCTGCTCACAGACAGCCTTTCCCATCTTGCCTCTTATTGTCTGTCTGATCGAACGTTCGCAGCTGATTTGCAACAAAAAGAAAGGGGATCGAATCAATAGTAAAAGAAAGGATTCTCTGCTGATAGGAGGCCGGCTGCTTTGCATTCAGGGCCGGCGTGTTGGATTCCAGTCGTGCATGCTGCAATCGGCAGAGTATATCAGAGCTGTGCATCGGTCACCGCTTCCATTGGTGTCTGAGCAGCACTTGCAGACAGGAGGCGATGCTTTTACCGAGGAGACCCCTGTTATCTGACATTACCCTCAGCTGCCTCACTCTTTTACTATGCTTACGGGTAAAGGTATGTTCACTTTTTTTTATTTAAAAGAAAAAAAAAAAAGTCACTTCTGGATCATAAGAACAAAACACAAAAAATGTCCTTTTTTAAAGGTTTTTTTTTTTTTTTAAACATTTTTTTTTCTTCTTAACATCAGGATTGGCTGCCTCTCCTTAATGTTTCTTCTTTTTTAAAGGTTTTTTTTTAATAACCTAAAGCTTCACATGGAGGATAATCCCCGATCTGTACAGTGCATCGTTCTTATAGAATAGTTTGGGATTAGTTTTACCCCACCATGTGCCTTTAAACAGAATGCATTCTTTTTTTTAAATGCATGTCCCTTTAAGTGATTTTTGCAATCAATTCAATGGAAAGAAAGTCATTTTTTAAAACCTATTTTTTATTTTTTTAAGTCTGCATTAAAACACAATGTTTCTTTGACTGTGATTTTTGTGCAGCCAGTACAATGGAAGAAAATCCTAATTTTTTTTTTTTTTAATTCAGCATTGAAACACAATGCATTATATCTATATATTTTTGTATTTATTTTTTATTTTTGTCCCAGATATCTGATGCATTCTCGCTTTTTTCTGCTATTTGTAACAGGTGTCTATAGCATCAGGGCAGTTCGAATTGGAAATCTTATCAATGCAGAATCCCAATGGAGAGGTGCAGAATGGCAATTGCTGCGATGGAATCCGAAATCCCAGCGACAGAAAGTGCACCAGGGACCAGTGTGACACTTTCTTTAAAGTTTGCCTAAAGGAGTATCAGTCCAGGGTGACCGCAGGAGGGCCCTGCAGCTTCGGCTCCGGATCTACCCCTGTCATAGGGGGCAATTCCTTTACCCTAAAATATAGCCAGAATAATGAGAAGAACAGGATTGTGCTGCCTTTCAGTTTTGCTTGGCCGGTGAGTCAGTGGATTATTGTGATTTCAGCATTTGCTGGGTTTTTTTTTTCCATCCTTGACCAGTCATGCATGTGTTTTTGTATATATGTTTTTGGGTTGCACTGAGTAAACATGCAGTGCTAGGCTCCTTAACCCCTTCCCCTCCAAATGGACTTGTGCCATTCCCTAAGTGGTGGTCCAAGGACCATAGTGCACAATAAGTTGGGAGGGGGTGATTGATTAAGAAGATCAGTCTCATTACTTGCAGATATAATACAAGTTTTTAGTTTATTTTTTTTATTTATGTTTTTTTACTCTGAAATGAGTTAAGGAGTTTGCTGGCACTCAGGTGGTTAAAAATGAGTAACATGATTGGGTTAATGTCTTGTCTGTGCGTGATGGCAGTTGTAGCTCTGTAACATGGAACGTTTATGCAGTGCATTGGGTAGATCCAGATTTGGCTGAGGGAGTGGATGGGGGGGAGGCTGTGATTTCCAGGAGTGGACTCAGGAGACAGGGAGGAGTGTTGGGAACTATGAGTACAATCTCAGTTGCATGCTGTGGGTTATTACATGGCTAGCTGTTTGTTTGTATGGAAATAGGGCTGATATGGACAGAACTTGTCTAGTTTTAGTTGGGAGATGCCTATCTACCCCTGTGTGGAGGTATTAAGGGGTTAGAAGGTCGCTGTACATGGTGGCTGGGTAGAAATGACAAGCAGAGAGTGGATTAATCTCATCTAAACCTCTCTAGCAATGTCCTGTTGGTCTCTTTTAATTCCCTCCCCCATCTCCTGAGTTTTTCTATGCTTGCTGCTATGTGAAGGTTGTTTTGTTGGAGAGCATTGTGTGTGTGTGTGTGTGTGTTTCTCCTGTTTTTTTTGAGAAACTTACTGCTTTAGTGTTGGAATGTTGGAGAATCTCACATTTCCATCCCAGCTGCATTTGATGTTCCTAATAGTTTTTAGTTAATCAGGCTCAAGTCCATTCAGCTATGTATGTAGGTAATATGGGGGGATGCATGCCTTTAACTTTGTTATATGAAACTATGGATCACATTGGCTAACAGGAAGCTAATCTCACACCCTCCCCTTGTTGTGGAAACCATAAAAAAAAATGAAGCTAGCAGGGTGGCATTAATCCCTCGCTGCCCATGTGTTTTTGCATGTATAAATTTGCAATCTTCTTGCATGCCTTTTAAAGGCAGCGCTGGCATGGCTCCAGTGGGGTTTGCAGTGTATCACTGTGCCCAGGGATTGCTGTCTGTGCCCTCCCTGTTCCAGTGATTACCCTGCCCTGCCCCTCCAGCCATGTCCTACGATCCCAGCCAGGTGTTGCAGAGGTGGGTGTGCTGACTGTGGTTCAAGGAGTGGCACTTCTAGTAATCACTTTATTTATTTATTTATTTTTTTCCCTATGTTGCTATGAAGAAATTAACCCCTAAAAAGGGCTATGATCTTTGTATTCTCCGTAGTCCTTGCCAGACTGCACTTAATCAGTACATGGACTATAAATTAGCAAAGCGCTTAAGTTGGCCGACTTTTGTCTAGATATTTAACCCACGTATCTGTTCCTGCATGAGGTTTAACTGGGATATATATTATATATTCCAGCTAATAATATAACAATATACAGCCCGGTGATAAATTTGAGTAATTATGCAATGCTGAATACGTGGTTTTATAAGAGGATCTCACTTTCGTTGCAACTTTTTTTAAATTTATTTTTCTGTGAGTGGCGAAGAGAAAATGCATCTTTACATTTATTTATTTTTTAAAGGCCCCAACGCAGTGGTTGGCAACCTTTAGCACTTAAGATGTTTTGGACTCCCCCCTCAAATTAAAATCTATATTAGTGCTGTTATTGGCAGATAGGAAGGAATGGGATGCTTTCTTAGTTAAATTATTTATTTTATGTAAAAGTACTTTTATTTCATGTATTGTATTCAGTTCCCCCATCCCCCTATGACTGCCTAGCCCTCCTCCCTGTGTGGGCATCCTAGGCTTAACCTTGAGGAAGCCTAATTGGCTCAAAGGCCCCTTCTCTCCTCTCTCCCAGTGGTATGTGTGTTCAGGCTCTTAGCCTTGTAGATACCCACAGGGCCAGTGTTTGTTTTATTTCTTGGGCCACCCTTGTTGTAACAGGCTGCTTTTTTTTTTCTCAAACAAGTCTAATGTCCCGGCCCAAGCTACACTGTCTGTCCGTGGTGTGCGTACAACGTTCTGATTTGCAAAGCCATCATATACGGCATAGTGTATGAAAATGCATGAGCTGGGAATTTTTAACTTTTTTTATTTTTAATGAGCATACTTTTGTAATCCCTACTGCCGTGACAGCCTGGGTTCCTGAACTGCATATCTGGCTGTATTCCTCCTGAGACCAGATACTGGCACAATGGTTTGGTTCACACAAGTTACCTCTGTTGGGAGAAAGAGCCAGGTTTTGCTCGTAGTGAGATAAAACTGTTATCAAATATACCATCAAAGGGATAAAAGGTTTTTATAAAAATCTGTGGTATTTGAAGTGCTGCCAACCAGTGTGGACCTCTATTGTTGTGGCATTTGACTTTTTTTTCTTTTCTTTTTTTTTTTTGCTCAGTCTTTTGAAGGACAGACCCATTCGGATGTTTGCCTACCAACTTGAGGAAATAGAACTCAGGTGTTTGATCCTGAACACACTTATAATTCACCGTTATGGATTTGTAAAGTGCTTATTTTTTTATTTTTTTTCACTGGTCTGTCATTTGCCAAGAAGCATGTTAAAGGCAGTGTAGACACCAACGTGATATCAGAAATACAGTGCTTGTATTGGTTTTAAATTTTTTTTTTTATTTAATTTTTTTTCTTTAGACAGGACAATGCAGGGACGGTTTCTGTCCCTTTTAGATTACTATATTATCAAAAATAATAATAGAGAGATGTTGCTTTGTCTTAAGTGCAAAAGATATTTTCATTTAGCTGAGCAATGTGTGTAATGCTTTGCCATTAAATATTTTGTAGGAATTGGCATTCAAATATTGTGTGTGTTAGTTTTTTTTGGGGGGGGGGGTTGTGTCTTACAAGTTGTGTTCATGGATGGGGTAACCGTCTTCTGTTGTATAGGGTTGAGTAATTGGTCTGGGGATTGGGGGAGAGAGGGGTGACTATAAATAAATTAAAGTCATTGGCTAAAAAAAGTTGCTAGGATACAGGTCTGTACGCCTGCGTATTGCATAAAGCGTGCACCTGCAAAATAAAGCAGTCTTGTTAGTGCCTTCTATGAAATCCTCGTGGTGTTGGCCAATTCTAGCATGTGCCAAAAGTTTGTTTGAGAAAGTTAAGAGAGGGAAGAAAAAATAAATAAATTAATTGCAACATGTCTCTTTAACATGCTTGGCACATCTATTTGACTTTGAGATAGGATTGCTTTAATTAATAATTGTCCCTTTTGATCATCTTAATTTGTGTGAGCTACAAGTGACTGAGGGTTTCATGCCTAGTTTGAAGGCCGAGTATATATCCTGTTGTTGAATTTGGTTTATGCAAAAGTAAAGATTCATTTAAAAAAACAAACATAATTTCTTTGTCTCAGGGGGGTTTACTGTTTAATGGGCACAGTATTCAGCCATGGCTCTAACAACTCTTACACATATCCCATAATTGTTGCAACCAGTATTGTACCCCGCAATTGTAATTTTTCAAGCATAAAATAAAACGCTTAAAGTGGTATATCTGCCATATATAGAGTGAGTTTCAGTATACGGTAGTTATAGTCATCGTATTAATGGTTTTTAATGTATCTTTTTAAGTGACGTTTTGAGAATAGATTATCCAATCGAGGGGTAGGCAAACTTTTGGTAGTGCCGGTCTAATACTTTGAATTCCTTGGGATTGAGAGTCCTACTTATTTAAATTGAACAGACACTTTGTGCACCAAAATTGCTATAAAAAAAAAAGTCTCTCCCCCCACCGCTAGTGGAAGTTCAGAATGACTGCCCCTAGAGGCGATTCCTCCTCAAAAAAACTTTATTTTTAAAATAATTTCTGAAAGTCTTAATTTTTGTTGTCATCACATGGCGTCTAATTAGATACGTTTTTTTTGTTTGTTTGTTTTTATAGCTTTTTTTTTTTTTAACTTTCAGGGCCTACATCTAAACAAAAAAAGTAACACTTGCTTGGTAAATACATTATTTTTACCGTTCCTTTTCATTAACAAGGAATGACTGGTTAAGAAAATGAATACTCATTAGGAGGAGGGCGAAGGTGCGACAAGATAAATATAAGCCTGGTTTGGGCAGGCAGCTTCGCAGTAGAATCTTTAGTCACTTTACCAGAATGCGAGGGACTCCATGTCACCCCAGAGGTAGAATTACTTCAAGGAGTTTGAACTATATCTGAGTATGGTTACATACCTGTCTGATTGCAACAGAACTTCATAATGCAATCTTCTGTGTCTCTCCTGTCTCTGTCCCCCTTCACACACACCTCTCCTACTATCCCCCATGTACACACACACGTTTATCTCCTACTATGCTACACACACTTGTCTGTCTCTCCTACTATCTTACACACAGAATAGAATAACAGAGGAGCAAGTGTCTCTCTATTCCCCTACTCTCGCACATACGTGTCTCTCCTATCCTACACAAAGAATATAGTGATAACAGAGGAGAGTGTCTCTCTATTCCCCTACACTCTCTCTCACACTTCTGTCTCTCCTACTATCCTCCACACACACACACACACACACACACAATAGGTTGATAAGAGGAGAGAGTGTCTCTCTATTCCCCCTACTCTGTCTTTCCTACTATCACACACACACACACACACACACACAATAGGTTGATAAGAGGAGAGAGTGTCTCTCTATTCCCCCTACTCTCTCTTTCCTACTATCACACACACACACACACACACACACACACACACAACACAATAGGTTGGTAGGGAGAGTGTCTCTCTATTCCCCCTACTCTCTTTCCTACTATCACACACACACACACACACACACAATAGGTTGATAGAGAGAGTGTCTCTCTATTCCCCTACTCTCTCTCCTACTATCCTACACACACACACACACACACACACACAATAGGTTGATAAGAGGAGAGAGTGTCTCTCTATTCCCCCTACTCTGTCTTTCCTACTATCACACACACACACACACACACACACAATAGGTTGATAAGAGGAGAGAGTGTCTCTCTATTCCCCCTACTCTCTCTCACACACACTTGTGACGCTCTTCCACTATCCTACACACAGAATAGAATAACAGAGGAGAGTGTTTCTCTATTCCCCCTACTCTCTCTCACACACACTTGTGACTCTCTTCCACTATCCTACACACAGAATAGAATAACAGAGGAGAGTTTCTCTATTCCCCTACTCTCTCTCACTTGTGATCCTACACACAGAATAGAATAACAGAGGAGAGTGTTTCTCTATTCCCCCTACTCTCTCTCACACACACTTGTGACTCTCTTCCACTATCCTACACACAGAATAGAATAACAGAGGAGAGTTTCTCTATTCCCCTACTCTCTCTCACACACACTTGTGACGCTCTTCCACTATCCTACACACAGAATAGAATAACAGAGGAGAGTGTTTCTCTATTCCCCCTACTCTCTCTCACACACACTTGTGACTCTCTTCCACTATCCTACACACAGAATAGAATAACAGAGGAGAGTTTCTCTATTCCCCCTACTCTCTCTCACACACACTTGTGACTCTCTTCCACTATCCTACACACAGAATAGAATAACAGAGGAGAGTGTTTCTCTATTCCCCTACTCTCTCACACACACACTTGTATCTCACTCTCACTCCTTTCCCCCACCCCCATTGCAGTATTCTCCCTCCATCTTGTTATAGACCCCCTGTTGTATTCTATTTTATTTTCTTCATTTTTTTTCTACAGCTTTGTTAAAAATGGCCCCGGTCCCTTCCAGCCTTCTACCTCCTGTACACAATAGGTTTCACAAAAACCTTTTTTAAACTGAATTTCAAACTTTAGGCTTAAAATAAGTCCGGTTGGAAAATGGCTGAATTTGAAGAATTTCCTTTTAATAAGGGCTGTTTTGGCTTAAATTTCAGTTTTTCATCTATCACAGGTATATGTGCATCAGGTAAGTTAAGCTACTGGTGTGAATGTGGCAAGGATTTTATTATTGGTTTACATTCTGTTTGATTTGCATGATTAAAAATCCATTATTAATTATATAGCGCCATCAGATTCCGTAGTGCTGTACAATGTGGGTGATATATCCTTTATATTATCCATGCCTATAAATATTGTATTTAACTGTTACGTTTCTATTATTTGAGAGCAATCAGGAAGACCAGACTTAAGTATTTAAAGTATTACACTTTTTGGCTACAAGGGGGTGTCAAATATAAAACGTGGTGTGTGTGTGTGTGTGTGTGTGTGTGTATATAATGTATGTTATGTATGTTTGACTTATGTTAAATAGGGTTAGCAGTTGGCTATGATAATATTCTGCAATACCATAACCGCTAAGAAAATGGCTTCTTTTAATTTGTTGGTATTTTTTATCATCATTTAATATATCGCCAACCTATTAAGCAGCGCTTAACAATTTTAAAACTGGGATATTGGACAACAAGTAATTTACATACGGAATATAACAGAGACGAGATGAAGAAGGCCTTGCTCAAACAAGCTCAGTCTATGATATTTTTATTTATTTTTTTATTTTTATTTTTTTTTTTTTTTCTTATCACCCTCCAAGGAACTTGCTATCCTGAGATAATGACCACATTAAAGCTCTAACTTTCTCCATGTATCCTGTGTAGAAAACCTGTGGGTTACAAGATCCTGTCTGTCTGGGGAAGTTGGGTCTTTGAAGTATTCTCCCCAGACATTCATTATGGATCACACAAAATAACATATAGTTTTTGTTTTATGTTAAATAAACTTGTTTTTTGTTTTTTTTTCCTATAATGCATTAAAATCAGGATACATATTCTGGAGCTAGGGGGTGACTGGGGGGTGGAGGGGGAGTTAATCACTTAAAAAGCACGTAGGAGTTTTACATCAAGGTAAGGCGCAATCGCCACAGTAACCTAATCGAATGTCTCAACATTTAGCTGTGTGCACCGGAATAGCGCCTGTTTTGCCGTGATAAATGTCCCCAATGATGTCTGTGGGTCAGGAGATAAATATACTTGAAGGATTTCTCATTGAGAAATGTTGCTTTTCCGGAGCCGATCCGCAAATCCTCATAGAGATGCATTGAATCAATGCATCTCTATGAGGAAAGTTCAGCACCTTCATGCAGTGCGTGGAGACTCTGAATGTCAGTTCTGCACGTTGTGCATGACCCAGGAAGAACCTCTAGTGGCCGTCTGAGTGTCCCTGGAGGTGTCCCTAGGCTGTAATGTAAACACTGCCTTTTCACTAATTAGGCAGTGTTTACATGAAAATGCCTGCAGGGACATGCTATAGTCACCAGAACTAATTCATCAAGCTGTAGTTGTTGTGGTGACTATATCGTCCCTTTTTAATAAAGTTAAAAATGGTTTTGTAATTTGATAACTGATGAGACCACAAGCCCGCACAGAAAACCGTTTCAGTACTTTTATAAGTGGTGCATATCTTTATTGTATGCTGAACGATATCAGTTGTAAGATTATTTTTTTTTATTTTTTAAATCTATAATCCATTTTCTGGCTGCGTATATTGTGTAACACGTCGTGTGATATTTCTGAACATTACATTCGTGATTACACAGCAAACGGGGAATTAAAATTTTTGGCCCAAATAGCCAGATGCGAGAGAACTGTTCGATAACGAGTTCGATAACGAGTCTCTCTGCAGCAAGCAGTGTGACTGTCCACAACTATGGCAGCCTGCAGGATTCCTGTTAACTAATGCATGGGATCAACCGACATAGGATAAAATGTAATGAAACCTGCTGTAAACTGTACTTGCCTTAATCTAGGGTCTTCTAACAAAAAAAAGTAATCATCTTGTGAGTTTTGGCTATATCTTCATTTTCAGTGCTTGACATTTTGTACTAGTTCAGCATGAATTTGTTATCCCCACGTTACAGTTCAGTTAACGTCCTGACACAAGTGTAACTTTAAACACTTTGCTGTTTTCTGGTCACGTGTGTGTGTTATGTGGAAAGGATGATATGTGATCAGAAAATTACTAGTGGTTTTGCAGCACTGAATATAAAATCTGTCAGACATTTTAATTGTTTCATATAATTGCATTGCTGCATTTAAAGGGACATAGAAAGACCCCTCCTCCCCATTTCTAGATGTATTTTCTTAGTTGTTCACTCCCCTGCCAAATAAAATAAATCTATCGTTACAAGAGATCTACCCCAATGAAAACATGCATGCATCTAATTGTGCATTAACTGGGAGTATATCAACACAGTTAGCAAAAGCTGCTTGCTGCAGAGAGACTCGTTATCGAACTCGTTATCGAACAGTTCTCTCGCATCTGGCTATTTGGGCCTTTGCAAGCCCTCCCCTCCTAACCCTGCCCAGGCTTTCTGTGGTTGTCCAATCACAGACTTCCCAATGCAGCTCAATGAGAGGTCTTTGCAAAGCAAGTGCTCTGTGCAATTGCTGCCTTCCGAGTTCAGTTCGACTGAGCTTGCCGTAACAGGATCGGCTGTCTGACAGGCAGGGAATGTAACAATATTAATTTATAAAAGTGCCAATATCTTTTGAAATCTTTTGTTGAAAAAACAAAAACAAAAAGGACACACTTCACACACAAAGCCCTGCAGTGTTGTCTTATTTCTTTGGTAGAAGCTTTTCTTGGTAGATTTGAGAACAAATATGACTTTTCAGACATACTTGGGAAAAGGAGAAACCAATTTTTTATTTTTTATTTCTTCGTAGGAAAAATATCTGCATTCATTCTATGCAGTTTTTACTTTGTGGTCGTTTTTAACCCCTTCACGCCGTTACGGCGTTCTATGCCGTCCCGCAATAAGTGGGCTTTAAAGCCGTTGCGGCGGCATAGAACGCCGTAACGGCTTTGCTCCCGGGATACTTGCCTACCCGGTGCTCCGCTTCGGGAGGACTGCCTCACAGCCCAGGCAGTCCTCCCACGGCAAATGAGGCCCCCGGGGGCCATGTGATCGATCTCAAAGATCGATCACATTGCCCCCTATAGCTGGCTGTGGATCTGCCAGCAGATGACGTTAAAAAAGAATTAAGCATGTTATAAAATATAGTGTGTGTGTGTGTGTGTGTATATATATATATATATATATATATATATATATATATATATATATATATATATATATATATATATATATATATATATATATATATACACACACACACGTATAATTACAATAAATAAAATATTGAAACAATTTAATATAAATTATATATTCATATGTAATTTCATTCTAACTGTATTTTGTTAATATATATATTTATATTTAAATATATATTGGTTATTAATATATACTTTGACATATATATATATATATATATATATATATATATATATATATATATATATATATATATATATATATATATATATATAATATGATTACATTAGTATATACGTAGAATTTAAATACCTATAAATGCATATATATTAAAATTCTACGTGTATATTTAATCTTTTAACATAATTATGTGATTTCATTAATTAAAATTTGATTGACATGCCTGACAACACAGGGAGAAAGTGCAGAGAATTTAATTGGCAAGCACTATATTTGACCCTGTAACTTTCCAAGACACCAAAAAAACCTGTACATAGGGGGTACCGTTTTACTCGGGAGACTTCGCTGAACTCAAATATTAGTTTTTCAAACTGGTAAATTGTATTATAACGATGATATTTTAAGTAAAAGTTATTTATTTTTTTGCATTTTTTACAAACAAACGGCACTTTTATGGACTATATTATTGTTTTACTGTTTTAAAACACTAATTTGTTTAGTGAAGTCTCCAGAGAATAACAGTACCCCCCCATGTACAGGTATTATGGTGTTTTGGAAAGTTAGAGAGTCGCATATAAGGCTTGCATTTCATTTTTTTGACATTGAAATTTGCCAGATTGGTTATGTTGCCTTTGAGAGCATATGGTAGCCCAGGAATGAGAATTACCCCCATGATGGCTTACCATTTGCAAAAGTAGACAACCCAAGGTATTGCAAGTGGGGTATGTCCAGTCTTTCTTTGTAGTCAGTCACAAACACTGGCCAAATGTTTGGTTTTTTTTTTTGTTTTTTGTTTTTTTTCACACAAAAACAAATATGAACGCTAACTTTGGCCAGTGTTTGTGACTAAGTGGCTACTAAAAAAGACTAAACATACCCCACTTTCAATACCTTGGGTTGTCTACTTTTTCAAATGGTATGCCATTATGGGGGTAATTCTTATTCCTGGGCTACCACACCATCTCAAAGGTAACATTACTAATCTAATCTCAATGTGAAAATGGAACGTTCTCTATTTGACCCTGTAACTTTCCAAAACACCATAAAACCTGTTAATGGGGGGTACTGTTGTACTCGTGACACATCGCTGATTACAAATATGTGCATTTTCTTGCAGTAAAACCTAACAGTATTATAACATTAACAGCTAAAATGTCAGACGGAAATACAATTTTTTTTTTTTTATTTTTTTTTTTAAATCTTATTTTCTCACTTTTTTTTTTTAAATTTTATTCATAATAAATTATGTTCCATATATGAATAGTTAACGATAAATGAAAGCCCTGTTTCTCCTGAACAAAATGATATATAATAAGTGTGGGTGCACTTAATATGACAGCGGTGAATTACGGTTGAACAGACATATAGCGCAAATTCCAGTTTTTGTTTTACGTTTTGTTTTGATCAGAACGTGCACTATTGACTCCGTCATGAATGGGTTAAAGATAGATATCAGCTGTGTTCTGAGCATCATCAACTCAGGATTTCAGCAGCTTTACCATGTTATTATTGATTTTTACTTATTACTATGAAATCAATGCGTGTAAAAACACGTGTATCCCTGAGAGGCTGGATTCTCTCAGCCAATCCTTAATCTGCAATTCATTTCAGCGGAAGAAGAAGGATGCAAACATGTGTGATGTCCCATGGTTATATGCTCAGTAATAACTAGAATTATTGTAAAAACTGTACACGTGCAGTGCAGCTGCTGACGGTACCTCATTCATTTTGGGAAGAGTGTGAGACCGCTCAAGTGCAAGTAAGCTGCTGGTGACCTGCCTTAACTTGCACAAGTGTTATTTTTATTTATGTGAATGAGATACTAAAAGTGTCTGCATTGTGGAAGCCTCCTAAAGGCTGATGTCCATTGGATCACTTCCTGCTAGGAAATGAAAGCTTCCAGTTGAATAGTGAGAGGTGTGAAGGTGGAGCTTTGGAATCCATAAATAAAAGTCAGGAAGGTGCAACATTTCAAGAATTATCGATGAATTGTAGCCATATTTGTCTTTTTTTTTTTTTTTTTTGTGGAATGTTGTGCATAATTGCTACATATCTATGGAGCTCCTAGAAAAAAGGCATGGTGTGATTTGGACCAATAATAGGGACTGTCCCTCCTAAATTGAGATGCTTGGCATGTATGTCAACTTTTTGCTGGGGATGGGAAATAAATCCTTGACGAACTCTGGGAGTCAAATGGTCTGAGTTTGTGGTCTTCACCTTCAGTGCTTGCAGACCACTTGTGCCTCTGGCACTTTCCCAGCGAGTTATAGTATTACCATGGTAATCTGTATGACCACGCTCTCAATCATTGTAAAGTGTCTGATCACAAAGGATCGTGAGATGGGGGTCTGACTGCCCTTGCTGGAGTTGCTCCCTTGTACTCTGAGTGGGGGCTCCCAAACTAATTATGTGGGCCTTGCAGCCTTGTCTGCCATGCATGTCCCGCGTGCCATAGATTGCGGATTCCTGTTCTAAAACAGTGGAATACAGGTACCACTTGAAAGTCATGGTTGTAGATCTCCTTTAGCTAAAGACCCATTTTTTGCACACACAGCCTTATTTTGGACCATGGCACACTTCAGAAACAAAACATTTTAAAGACCATGTAGGTTTTTTTTTGTTTTGTTTTTTATTTCAACACCGAAACTTGGTTATTTTCAAAAACGAGAGACCTACAAAAGGAATGTTTTCAGAATTTTACAACCCAGAATACAAAGTTTTTGTGGGACATTTCAAGGTGACTTCAGGTTAACCAGTATGCCTCGCATGGCACACTGTTCTGGGCTAGGTTTCCTGCCCTTTTCTACATGATACAAATTGTGTAATTTAGAAATACTGCAATTGGAGAGATGCACCATAGTTATTTAGATAAGAGATAAGTAAAGATACAAGACATACCCATTGACTTTCAGTGTTTGTTGAAAGGTCATTCCTTCTGCTCTAAGCAACTGTATTAGTTAGCACTGAATTCTATGTTCTTGCAATCTTTCGGAATAGAGAGGGAATCATAAAATGTTCACTGCTAATTGCCAAAGATTCAAAGTCCTTTTTTACCAGCTCGACCCAATTTTCTGCACTTAGCGGTAAATGGTAGAAAGGCCTCTTGTTCATGCTTGCTGTGTGTGAACCTGACTGTTGTGCATGGCTGGACATATGGTATTCTATCTATTAACCTTGCCACCCTCTTTAACCAGTGCGTTTAATTATCAGTAGGAGTCTTAAGGAAGGTAGGTTAATGTCAAATTGTGAGTAAGCCATTCGTATGGCAGCAATAAAAGTGAACTTGATTTGATTTTATTTTTTTCCTGCACTGTAAATCTAGTTAGAATGTCTAAGTGTTAATATTTTATATATTATTTTTTTTTCTCGTCCCTTCCGGAGAGGTTTCCTGTGCTCACTGAGATCAATTTAAAAAAATATATATATTTCCAGATAGTTGATCTGGTTTGTCACCTTTTATTTTTTTTGTAATACGTTTTGGTTTTAATACTTGCTAGTTTTAGTGATTATAATGCGATTGTAGTCTGGCCACCCAGACAGGCAGTGACTGCTAATATTAACCAAGAACAATAGTGTGGCCATTCTGACTGCAACGAGGATTACAGAACATAATGGGACCCATCCAAATATAATGCGAGTACAGGACAAGCAACAGGAAGCTGCAGTACACTCAGCAGAGCTCGGCTCACACACAAACCGTGGACTTAATTCACACAATGACAACTTTAGCACATTATGTATTCAGAGGATGCACATTATTCCAGTAGGCTTGCCAGATCTGAGATGAGCCTGCTTTATTAGAGAACGTGCACCCATAGTGTTCATAGCAACAATGTTTTTGTGTTTTATTTTATTTATTTTTTATTTATTTATTTTTCTTTTCCCAGTCTTTTTTTGGCAAACCCAGGTCAGCCTTGGTGCAGGATAGTTCACAAATGCAGTTACTAGAATGTGGTTTAGGCTCAGTAGAAAAAGAATAATGATTTTAGGAGGGGGGCGACCCAAAACAAAACACAAACTCCTGAAATTTTATATTTCTGTTCGGATGTTGTGGCGAAATGTGTTCACCGCTGCCCTCTGGTCACACATGTTCTCTATTAGAAGGTACCACAGTTTGATGGTGCGCAGTCTAGCAGTGAGTGTCTGACGTGGTACCCGTTGAGTAAGCAGCTTTATTTGCTGCCCCATCAGTAAATAAGGTATCGCTCATCAATTCTTGTTTTTCTTTCTCTAGGAATTATGTGAAAGCGTACATTCCATCACATCAGCAGTTTACTTACAAGGCCCCTAGTGAAGCTTTGTTACCTGTTTTTAAAAAAACCCACATGCAATTTAGGACTCTTGGCACACAGAGGCTTATATTGCCTTTTTACAAAATGTGATTTACTTATTTCCTCTACTTACTATTCACCATTTAGTTTGGCCAGAGGTTTACTGTCTTAATACAATACATATCTTTAAAAAAGCTTAATTATATCTAAATTATTGTCCTTGTTGATTCCACTGCCTTTGTGGCCATTTAATTCACTGAGTAGACTGTACATTTTGGGGAAAAGCACCGACCAGTACAAAAGGTAAAGAGGGCCCTCCTGTGAGCTAGCTTTTATACACCGTACGTAGAGGCCGGTGAGCTTGCAATCTAAATATGAACTAATTTCCTATACACTGCCTGTACACTTTGAACTGTACTGTGAGCAAAATATTGGTGACACTTTACAGGATTGGATAGTCAAAATATGTTCCCCATAGGTAGATTAACCACTACTAGAATGCTATGCCAACTTCTGAAAATACAGGTGTTTTAGTCTAGAAGAGAAGTATTATCAGAGAAGTGGCTCATTTCACTTTCTTGCCAGATCCGAGTGTGAGTGATATATGGAAGAGTCACCCGCGTGCACACACTAGATTTGAGTCAATGCTGCTTTTCCATCCTTTTAGGCAAGTTGCAACAATAAACAAGAACATTCTGTTTCTAAAATCTCTGAGGCCCTCTGGATTAACCCTCAGTGAAACATAGCAGTTTCTCTGAAGCTGCTATATTTTCAGCTGCAGGGTTAAAACTAGAGGGACCTGGCACCCAGACCACTTCATTGAGCTGAAGTGATCTGAGTGCCTATAGTGGTCCTTTAAGTGTATCTGCATGCACTGGCGGCACACCACGGTCGCAGCCCTGCAACCAGGTGCCCGCCGCCATGTGTAGCGGCACCGGCCTGCGCAGAGTATGTGCGCGGGTGGGGGGGGGGGAACGGATCAATATTCGCACCGGGGCCCCATGGATCTTGTGTACGCCACTGTTTGTACTTCAGCGTGTGAGTGGGCCCAAACATGCGCAACACACAATTTTATATATAATTTATTTAACCTTTGCAGTAACCAAACTGCTGTTTTCCAAAAGCCAAGTATTATTGAATAAGAAAAAAATATTTTAATACAATGCTGATTCATGGTTTGATTTCTTTTTTTTTTTTTTTTTTTTTTTTTTTTTTTTTTTACTTGTAAGTTTGCTGATAGTGCTAAAAGAAAACGTTTGGGTTTTTTATGCTTGCTATTTTACCGTATATAGAATGCTGCTGAATATTTTGTTAAATAGGTGATGATTGGTGTGTTGTTTATGCAGTCTTTTATTTACGTTAGCAGTAATCCCATTTATTTCAGGCACATATACCAGTTACAATTCAAATTACAAACTACTTACACATTTTGCTAATGTTCTGCAATGTTTTCCCGCACCTCATCAGTTCTTACTTCTTACTTTTTTTTTTTTTGTCTGCTTATCCCTGGAGGGGTATATCTTTTGGCTCAGGGTCAGGCCTCTAGTGGCTAATTAAGTGTGACATTATCAGTACACAACTGATCTTTGACTCTGCATATAATCTCTCATTTGAATAAGTTGACTGCTTTTATTATTGTGGTTGAATGTATATTTAAAAATGATCTAAAGGTCATCTCTGGTCATGGGAACATTTAAACCTGCTGGTTGCATTCATTCCAGAGATGTTCAGTAAACCTGAACACTTACAGGGCATGTGATTGGCAATTCACCCGTTAACGGAGCAGTTCCCCTTCTGTTTTGAAATGAGCCATCCTCTTCATTTGCCATTGCTCAGCAGCCAGATTCATGCACCCATCACAGTGCTTAAAATAAATGAAGAATTGGTTCCATGGTTGCGTTGGGATACGGTAACATTTTTAACCCTCCCCCAACCAGAAAAACAAAACAAAAATATTTTGCCTTATTAAACGAATTGAGACATTGCTGTTACAAATGCACAGTAAGTGTTGCCCAGATCAATAGATTCGCTAGTGTTTAGGAGCCTCTCTTTCCACTCTGACGTCTGATTGTATATTATCATCATTATTATTATTATTATTATTATTGCCATTTATATAGCGCCTACAGATTCCAAAGCGCTTTAAAATATTATGAGAGGGGGGATTTAAATATAAATGGGACAATTACACGAAAAACTTACAGGAACAATAGTTTGAAGAGGACCCTGCTCAAACGAGCTTAGTCTATCCCATAAATGCTTATCTAGTATGGTTTTATGGGATATGTGGTCCAGCCCCAGCAGCCGTTTGCTTTATCACGTAGTATACTTGCAATGCTATTGTTTTGATTTTCTCGTTTTAGTTTTGTGAATGGGGAGGTTTACACCATTACATAAACTTCTGACTGCCCACGGCACAGGCTGAGGGGGTATGGGGAGGTGGGGACTTTAATGGTGAGCACCCACATCGCGAACACACAATATAAATGGAATAATAATAATAATATAAATGTTTGTAAAGTACAGCTTCTTCTTAATCTGTGGGTGAATTGGGGCTGATTCACCCCTCTTCCCATCCACACCCACCCCAATTATAGGTAACTGTGAACACCACAACCTATTCTAATTAATATTTTTAGATCATTTTAAACTGCAGATTAGTGCACATGCTCTAGCAATTAAAGGGTTAATGTCTGCTTGAAATTCTGTTTTTATATGGGTTCTACAAAACAGAGACGTATGGCATACGGATTATAATTGCGGCTATAGGGTCGTGTGTATGTTTTGGCAGAATACGACCATTTTTGGTATCGCACCAGTTGTGAACAGCCCGGTTGAGGACGTAATCCTGACCTAGGACATTGGTCTTTCTGATAAAAGGTCTTCAGAAAGCAGTGTAGTCCTGTGCTGTGAGCATCATGATTTGGTTCAGGAGTGATCAAAGAAACTCCAAGTATATACTTAAAGTTTTATGCTCTAAATCCTACCAGTTTCAAAGTAATCTATCATTTTATGTGGTTATGTTTTTGGTTTGTGTCTCTTTTATTTTTTTATTTTAAGGTTTTTGTTTTTTTGTGTGTGATTTTTTTAATATGTGTATAGTCTTGCAGTAAAATGTACGTGAAATGTCAGTGAAACAGGGGGCAAAAACAGGAGGCTGTGGACATTAGAAGAAGGCATTGCAAACCTTGGGTCGAAACTGTTTACATTTGGTGGGGGGGACGGACGTCAATTTGACTTTTTCGGTCTATGTTAGTATGTTCTTTTTGATTTTCAACTCCCAAATTAGTGGATAAACCTGGCCTTGCAGTACTGTACCTCAAGGGAGACTGGATTTGCTATAAATATGTTGAGGCTCGGCCATGTTTACCTACATCAGGCATAGGCAACCTTCGGCACTGCAGATGTTTTGGACTACAGCTCCAATGATGCTTTGCCAGCATTATGTGTGTAAAAGCATTATGGGGGATGTAGTCCACAACATCTGGAGTGCAGAAGGTTGCCTATCCCTGACCTAGATCTTGCATGTGATTAGTTTGAATGTATATGTTATATGATATACAGTTTCTGCAGGTGGAACGAATATCCATATACCCTACTGAACAATCTCTGCTTAATTCTTTTCTTTTTCTTTTTTTGTATTGGAGGTTTCGATACATGCCTATACATGTCCAGTTATGCTAAGTTCACTTAGCATTTTCCCACAGTACTCTGTGAACAAAATGGAATCTTGATTCTTCTGTGTATACAACATATTTCGGCTGTATTCCAAGGCAGTACTTCACAAATACTGGGTTTCCTTCAAAGACTGCATGCTCCGTCAAGTTATTAGAAGTCAGTTTTATGCTGACTTCTGAAGTTATTACTGTCTACACCTTTGTGTTGTTTACCTTTTGTCAGAAATGCTGTGTGCTACCAACCAGTCAAGGCTCTCGCTATGTAATTATCTGTTACCATTAGCTTACTGATGTTTGGGAATCCTCAACCTGGCCAAATAAACTCGCTGAGTAACATTTGTCAGTGCCAGCATTTTCTACAAGGCTTGGTCTGATTGCCTTGTAAAAATAGTGTCGCTCAGAGGTGTGTAGATTGTCGCGCGCTCGTATTAAATGGTTCAGACGGTATATTATGATGTGGACCCACCATGGCTATTACTTGGTCGGCAAAGAAGCTTGAAGTGAGCTGGGAGGTTTGGCTACTTCTGACTTGCTGTAGAGATAAAAGGGTACGTAGATACAATAGCTGGCATCAGTCCAACTTAAAGGAGCGCTTTAAGCAGTAGATGCTTATGATTATTATTGGAATGTTACAGATCTCATGGGCAGATTAGTGTGGCTATAAATGTGACACATAGTTGTGCCCTAAGGTTTTGAATGCTTAGGACCTAAAGCTTTGTCCTAAAGAGCCTTTTCCTCCCTCCATACTCACTAAAATTCATCAGTTCTTTGCTTCGTTACCTGATACTTGTGGGAGCAGTGATGGTCTATTGCAGACAAAGCTTTCTAAGAGGTGCTGAAAAGCTGCACGTCCCATGAGGCAATTCTTCAGATGCTCAGAGAATTACAGTTTGCAAAGACTGAATTTGTATAAATATATATATTTTTACTATCTAGGTATTTTGTCTATTTTACATTTTTTTTTTCTCCCCTTCTTTTAGGAACATGGGGTATATACTTTAAAAAAAAAAAAAAAAAAAATTTATATTTAATCGTTTTGTGTGTACATGTGTAACGCAATTTCATAGCCATATATACATATTATTTATTCACTGAAATTACAAATTTTTTGGTATTGTAAATTATCACCATCCCCTATACACATATATACATATATACATATATACATATACACTTATATACATACATATGCATACATATACGCTGTATGCGGCAATACGCCACGCCAACAACAACAACCGCCAGCCATGCCGCCGCCGCCGCCGCCAACCTTAACCAGCTGCATACGCATATATTTTATACATATGCATCGCCGCGGCTGCCTGCAACATATTTATACATATGGCTGTTGCATATATATATATATTTGGCTGCATATATATATTTGTGCATATATATTTTGTTTACATATATATTTTGTTTTGCATAACAATATATGTGGCTGCATACTTATATGGCTGTTTACATATATATATAACATTTTACATATATATACTTTTGTTTTACGCCGCCATATTTGTTTTACATAGCTGTTTTGCATATATATATTTGAAAACATAACCAACCAATATATATTTTTGGCGCACGCCATATTTGTTTACGCCAATATGCTGGCTGTTTTGCATATTTTGGCCATATGGCTGTTTTACATATGGCTGTTTACCATAACGCCGCCTTTGGCTGCATAATATGGCTGGCACATATACTCTTTATAGCTGGCGCCTGCTGGCACACGCCTCTTCTTTACCTCTCTCTCTTTACTCTCTCTCTTTTACGCCTGCTCTCTCTCTCCCTTCGTTGGCGTTTAAAGATAAGTAATGTAAGGTGAAAGGTTTCTGCTGAATGAGGCTGGATAAGGTAGCTTAGAAGGGTAAAAGAAGATAATGTTTGATTCAAGGATAATCTGTTGCCGATTTTACGTTTCAGTTTACACAGAATGATTTTAGTTTATCAAGAATTCTTTTGGTACAGAGGTGTTGCTACTTTTGTGTTTTAATATGAATCTTGTTTTCTAACTTTTTTTTTTTTTTTCTGCTTATTTCAGAGATCTTACACTTTAGTTGTGGAAGCGTGGGATTACAACAATGATACAAATGGTAAGTCTGTCATTCTGGAAAAACTGCAGCTAAACTCTGGGATTGGCTAGTTTTGCACACATTGCTGACTGAGAGTCATGGGAGAAGCGGTCTACGAAGCTGGCATACCAACCATTGGCTTTCAGTGGTTTAGGAATATAAAAATGTGAATTTTGAGTGCAGCATACAATATGACTAAAACGAAAGTTCTGTTTTTGAAAGATGTTCCTGTCCGTTATGGGTCTCTAGTCCCTGATGGACTACAACTCCCATCCAAGCCAACCATGCCACTGGTGGCTCAGCCGTGTTATAAATCGCATTGTTGAAGTGTGACCTGTTGAAATCTGGCAGAGCTGTTCCCTCTACATTCTAGATACTGTTCTGATACTACTGTCACTTCTGCAGTTTCTACAGTGTTCTTTCACCAGGAAATATCTGAAACATTGCAGACAGTCTTTGTTAACACTACTAATGCCCCCATACTGTAGGCAAAATAGTAGTTTCTGCCACTCATTGGCTCAAACACAGACTCCAGTACAAGCTGTAGATCCTGCCTCTGCTTTATATGTATATATCCGTTATAATTTTTAGAGAGAAAACTACCCCCTGTCCCCCTTGCACTGCAGTTTATGTGTGGGGTCTAAGTTTTTCTGATTCTCAGTGTCTGTTTTTGTAGAACCTGTGCTTCATTCCTCTTCTTCGGGAAATAATTTTAAAAAGGAAAATCTCTTTAATATGTGTGACCGTTTTCCAATTCTGTGTTTAAAAATTGTATGGGCACCAAGTCTGTAAGAAACTTGGCTGTGATGATGGCTTATAGAACATTTTACGAAATATTAGAAAAGTACATATAAATTGCTATTTTCAGTGTGCACATTGGTTCACTTTTAATTTGCAATAACATTCATGACTCCTATAGTAGTTTTCTTCACATGGTTGTGAAATATTTAGTAGAAGAAAGTGTTTTTTTTTTTTGTTTCAACTTTTTAAATGTTACACACACACACCCACCCACCACCACCCCACTCTAGCATCCCGTGGTGGTTTGAAGTGTGTTTCATTCTAATTGTAATCTTGATTTATTGGTTTTCTGCAACATAAATTATATATACACAACAGTGCCTGTATCGCCACAACCGCATAATCAGACTTGATCGTTATAAACAGAGTAAAACAGTGTTTTCTGACATGTTTAAGTTTGCACTTTTTGTTTAAAAGAGTAGAAATTCAAGGTATACACCTAATGTAGCGTGTGTATTAAAGGGTATGAGGGGGAAACTTTGCGAGGGTCAGTGAGTGTCTAGTATGGGGGAGGTCGTCAGTCTACCCGCTTTATGTTGTAGAACGGGAGCCTATGTGGGTTGTAGTTCATGTCTGCGAGTTATTCCTCGTGTTGGTGAGGCCTGTGGCAAAAGTGTCAACATGGTATTACTGCTGTGATATTCTCTTCGGTGTAGCTATGGCTCTGCTGTGGTTCTCTGTAGTGGGTATGCCATGGAGGGGGCGGGTCAATCTTGTTGGGACGCAGTGCTGTCAGTGAAACGGTTGCGACATGTGAATCAACGGTCGGAGGAACAGAGAATGAGCAAAGAATATATAAGAGAGTATACAATGCAACGCATTAATAAATTGCCAGCATCTAAAGGAGTAGTGAGTTTTTAGTGTCCGGTACTGACGTGCCCACATTTGGCTTGGGAAGCACTGTTACGCCTCTTCATTCTGGAGCTTTGGGCCCTGCTGGGGTGAAAGGTGTGATGTTGGTGGCATTCCAGCAATGTGCAGAATTCGACACTAAGCTTTGGGCCGGGAGTATGCCCAGGGAGTGCAGGAATTCTGCTGGCGAGGTCAGTCGGCGGTGTCCGCCTCGTTCTGTGAAGAGTGCTCTCGGGTATCCCCACTTGTATGTGATGTCGGCTGCTCTCCGCTGCATTGTTACTTCCTTCAGGGATGCGCTCCACTGCAGTGTCTGGCGGGTCAGGTCTTGGTAGAAGTTTAGGGAGTGGTCTTCATATGTAAGCGGGGTTTGTGATAATTTATGCTGAAGTGAGGAAAAGTTGGCTGTTCCGTGAGGCTTTTTCTGGTTGCTTTTGTCAGAGCTCAGGCGCCATGCGTCTTGCCAGCTCGCCAGTTAGCTCCGCCCCGTAAATTGCTATATTTCTAATTACTTTTTACATTTGTTTAAACCTATTCTAAAGTTAAAACTTTTTTTTTTAATTTCTGCTTTTTGTTTTCATTTTATAATCCCGACGTGTGTGTTTACATACTTGTGCACTCTTTCTGGGGCTGTTTACAAAGTGAATTTAAATGTTTTATGCCAACTACTCACCTTGCAGTCAACAGAGATTGCTGCAGGTCGTAAGACCGTGTCAGATCATTTAAGTCATGAGTCCTAAAGTACAGAGTAAAATATCACAGATGAGTACAATATTCCGGGCTACTGTGAAATATTATTTCAAATTCTAACTTTAAGCAGGTGCTTGTTTTGAAAAGTATAGGTGCTTTATCTTGCTTTATGGCTTGTATTTAAAACGATAACAAATCAGGCATATTTTCATAACTAACTGCAAAATGCGTTTTCTCTTAAAATGTTCTTTTTATCTGCTGGAGGTTTATTTGCACATAGTTTACATTCGTGCACTGAATTCATTGCACGAACCATTACCTGCAAGTTAATTTATAATCTCTGCTGGACAGATGTGCAAGTGTAGATTTTTTTTTTTTTTTTAATGCTGTTGTAATTCGGAACAATTCTATACAGTATCCCACTGCTGCTTCCATTTTTGGATCAGTGCAGACTACATGGTTTAATATTTATAGTAGATTTCTCATGAACATGTTTATGTATCTACACAAAGGTCCAAGGAGAAATGTTGGCACTGCCCTTATTAAAATCCCTGGTATATAGTTTGAATGATCATATTGCATATAGATTGGAATTGTGCTTTTTGTATGTCTGCATAAATTGATGGTGAATCCCAAAAACGAGCCATTATAGCACAGTACTGAGAGCCAGAAATGTATAATTATTATTTAAGTTCTTATTGTAATCTCTTTCTTGGAATGTCTTGTCGTTTGTGTTTTTTGGTTGTTTTTTGTTGTTGTTGTTTTTTTTAAAGTGTTACATTTTCAATATTTGTACAGACGCTGATGATATCATAGAGAAAGCCCTTCACTCCGGTATGATTAACCCAAGTAGACAATGGCAAATACTGAAACAGAATGCTGCAATGACACATTTCGAATACCAGATTCGGGTCATTTGTGACGAGCATTATTACGGTTTTGGCTGCAACAAATTTTGCCGACCGAGGGATGACTTTTTTGGACACTACATGTGCGATCAGAATGGCAATAAAACCTGTCTGGAAGGCTGGATGGGACTTGAATGTAAAAGAGGTACGGATTATCATACAAGTTAAGGTTCCGTTTTAGTGAAGCTACTGCAAACTGACCTGTATTAAAGTCTACCTGCCACAATTAAATTACATAACGATACTGTTAAACGCCTGAACTCAAGTCAAATTGCAATTTGCATGCATTTTATTTTAGATTTCATTTTTTACCACATCTGACCTGACTTGGAAATAGGCAAAGTCTATAAAACAAAAGTATTGATTGCTGTGCTTGTAGTTGCCATGCCACTAAATGAATTGGTGTCCCGTATTGCATATCACACAGCACACTAGTCCTTGTGGGATTCTAAAAATGTCATTGGGAGCCAGGCGTCTGATGTCCCACTATTTGGCACTGCCATCATTGTGGCCATCTGAATTGTACGCCTCCCTGAAGGTGACCATGTGACAGTTTGTGGATGATGGATCTACACATAATGAGGTAGAAATAATTGTTTGATCAGATATATAAAATGAAGACTAATTTTTTTTTTTTTTTCTCCCACCCCCTCAGCAATATGTCGTCAAGGCTGCAGCCCAAAACATGGTACATGCACGACGCCAGGAGATTGCAAGTAATTTACCATTCTCTTCCATTTTTATTATTTTATGAGTGAATGGGCTAGTGTGATTTGATGCTATTACGACTGATACATGCAGCACGCGTTGCATGAGATGTAATATTTTAATGTGTCAGTTATTTGCATTTATGGACTTTTTATTAATAAAATGCTTTGACTGCAGTGGGTATAATATTATTTTGCCTCCTCTGGCATAAAAACATTTCACAAATGTCCCTTCCCATCCCCCTTCCCCAAGTCCATCAATAGGCAAAAAGGTCCGGCATTCTTTAGAATGGGATTAGTAAAATCTCTTGGTCTGTGCTCCTGGGAGCCAGTGTCTGAGTGCTGAGAGGTTAATAGCTTGGATGGAATCTTGTCAGTAGCCACTGTTTGTTACTGTGCTTTGAAGTTGACTGGGTCCTGGCTTGCATACAATAGAAAGCAGGTTTTAGACATACCCGAACAATTTCATAATTCAAATATTGAGATGACTAAGAATTACAGATCTTCTTTTATCCAACCATTTTAGAGAAGAACTGTGCTAGGGTTTTCAGTGTACTTCAACATCATATAACTATTTCACTTCTGTTTTAGATAGAATTACTTGCTCGTCACAAAGTTTTGTAGCATATTGGGGGATTGTGCATTACTGGTCCCTTTTTTTTTTTTTTTTATCCAAGCTTAATAAACAATAACCACTTGATATATAGTTATAGATAAATAGTTATAGCTTCCTTGTAGCCATGGAAGCAAAGTATCGGATGTTGCTACTCTAGAGCTCAATCACAGTTGCACACAAACCTGTATGGTCTATTCAATAAATTACAAATGCTTGTTTGTCATAAATGGGCTGTTTTAACTTTTCCAGCTCTTCACAAACCGTTAATTTCATTATTTCAAGCAAATGCGCCCTGCAGTTCATTTGTCTGCTGACAACCAAATCTGTTTGTGAATAACAGAAGTTAACCGTGTTACACATATCACAATCAAATTGCCTTTATTTGATTGTTCCAATTCTCCTAGTACACACCAGGAGAATTGCACCTAAACCTCTAAGTCTTTCTAATCCCTAATACTACCCTAACCCTCCCCCACCCCCTGGATATCCCAACTCTAAATATCTCTTCCAAAACCAACTCTAACATTTGTGTTTATGTTCACTGTTTAGTGAATTGACCCTTGGTCAGGGGTCCACCAGGTAGTAAGCTAAAATAACTGAATTGGGAAAAAATTTCCAACTCTGACATATTTTCTGCTGAGCGGCTTTGGATTTAAGTGTTGTCATATCCTGATGAATTCCTGACAATTCACAGTTCACGAATAACAATGTCTGTTTTTGCTGCATGGAAAAACCTGCAATAAAGGTGCTTTTAAAGGCGGGTGGCCGGCATTGATCTGGCTATAAGGGATATAGAAAATAGTGCATATTGTGAATGTTGTCACACTGATGGACAATGTCACACTGATGTACTGGAAATGTAATATAGTCTACGCTTGTCATAAGCCTCTTGTACTAAGCCCAGATCATAGGATGAGTGACAGTTTTGAGATGGCTAATAACGATTTGCGTACTTGTCCCCAAAATAAACATGCCTCACTCTGTCCCTGCAAGGCTTTGTTTATTCCTTTCCCTTTCTAGATATCCCCTCCCTCTCAGTGCCTAGACATGCACTATTGCTCATATTTGCTAAAGGTGCAAGTTTCCCACACTTAATTTGCATATTTAAAAAAAAATGTCCCTTTGTCTTTTGAGAGAATGAATGGAAAGAAAATGCCTAATTTTGATTCGATGAAGAAAACAAATTCCAAACTTCATCTTCACAATTGAGATTTTTTTGCCATTGTGAAATACGTCACCTAGGATACCATGGCTTATAAACAAGATGGTTCTATTCCCCTCCCCAAAAATTCTGCATCTTAATATTTGAAAGCATTCCGTACAGTTGGTCTTATACATACAGTTAGTCTAAAATAACTTTGTGATTTAATTGTAGATAGATTTTACTTTGTAGGGTTTTTTTGGCAGGGAGAGGGGTGGGGAATGAGCAATGAAATAAATAATAGTAATCAATCAATGGAAATTTTTTAAGTAGTTTTTTATTTTGTATTTATTTATTTTTTTATTTTTTTTAGCAACTTGTTTTAGTTTGCATTTGAATCTGCAGTACCTGTTATCTGTTTGAACTCCGCATCCCATATAGCAATTCGAAAAATGGACCATATAAAAGTCAGAACTTCTTACTTAAATACCACAAGCTTTAGATTCAGTTATTAATCATTGTGGCTTAAGCCCTGACAAAATGAAAAATTTCTTGTGATTCTTTATTTAAATAAAATTATTTTAACGTCTCACGAGAAGCTTGATCATACTCGTCATCCGTTTTAGATTAGTGGTTTTGTTGTTTGGGGAGTGACTGTAGGCTATTTATGGCGTCCTTTCTAGGGGTTGCCTTCAACTTCTGCACTTCATTATAAAATAAAATAAAAAGTTACATTCTTGTTAATCGGGGAGAAAAACCATTGACAATAGATAACTGTCACGGTTTTCAAATTAATATTTTGGGATTTCCATCTTTTCTTTAAAAGGATACACAACATATATTTCAATCGAGTGTATTTTACTACATAATTTTTTTTTTTTGAAGAAAGATGGCGATTTCAAAATGATTCTAAAATCTGGTAAAGCGCATGACCTCACTCATTTAATCAGACTTTATGGCAACTTGGGAAGGGAAATGTTAATCCTTGGCCAAGGTAGCCAAACTGAAAATATTTTCTAGTTTTGGCCTAAACTTTCTAATTCCATTATGGTGTGAATAAATTGAGTTCTTTTTTCCAGATTGCGACGATAAGGATTTTTAAAAAAGTTGTTTACCTATCCAAAGCTATTAAATGATTGGTTTAATGATTCTTTGTATAGAGCACACACACCCTTTCCCATAGCTCGGATTGGCTCCCTCAAAATTAATGCCTTTGTTTTGAAGTCTGCCTAACCTCTTATCTGATGTTTATTTTTATAATTTAATGGTTTGGGGAGGTAGTTTAGTCCTTGTGCTTTGGAATCTTAGCTGTCCATTGCTATATTATTAGTGTCTTGATCCATTAACGTGTTAGTCAGCGTTTCTGTCTAACGTCTTCTTGGCAGATTTAGAGGCAGGGGGAGAGGTGAAAAAAGTTTAAACCCACATTCCCCTATTTATCTTAAGATGATCATTCCTCATTTTTCGTGTGTTTGTTTATTCTTTTTTTATTTTTTTTTATTCCACAGCTGACCTAAACAGCTGCCATAATTTCCACAGTTCCCTATTTGTTTATAATGATTTTCCATTTTCTACCTGGTGCCTTAATTTTGCAGTTTTCTAAGTACATAAAACACATTCCTTTTTTTACTTATAATCTATTTTTCTATCTATTGTGTGCCCTGTTGGCATCTCTGGAGTTAACCTGCTTTACAGTACATTTTTAAAAGCCAATTCTACCCCTCCTTTTTGTGTGTCTTTTTTTTTTTTTTTTTTTTTTTTAAACAGGAAAGCAGAGTTTTCATTGTTCTCTGAGACTTTTTCTCTTACACGCAATAGATTGTCCATTCTGACATAGTTCAGAGATTGATTTGTAGTGTACACCCACCCTCCCTGTCTCATTTGAATGACCCGAGAATAGAGTATTATTGTGTTCAATGGCATCATGCGTGGTTTCCCGGAACATTTATTCTTTTGTGAAAAGATTGGCTGGGAGACCTTGGCAAAACTGCTAGTAGGTTTGTTTACCAAAAAAAATTAAAAACATTATTATATATAAACACTACCAAATACACATTGATGTGTAATAAATATTTACCTAGATGTCGCATACTATTTTTGTGTTCTTGCATGGCAGTTGTGTTCGAAATGCACTTAATGAGATGTTTATATGATTTTATGTATTTGTTTTTGTAGATGCCAGTATGGATGGCAAGGCCAGTACTGTGACAAGTGCATACCGCATCCTGGATGTGTCCATGGCACGTGCATTGAGCCGTGGCAGTGTCTGTGTGACACGAACTGGGGTGGGCAGCTCTGTGACAAGGTATGCAAATATCACACGTCTCCCAAGCGGCTTACATGTAAATCCTGCACTTGTGCTATGAAGGTCTTATTGATAACACTGCAGTAAATTAGCAATTCTCAACTGATGTTAAAGTGTGCCTATTGGCTTTCTCCATGTGACAATTAAGCCTGAAGTACATATTCTTGCAGCTGCTTTATACTTGCCTCAGCTGATGGCTTTGACTGACTTCTGCAAGTATGGCTGAGGGTGCTGGGAGGTCTCCTTATATCTGTTGAACTTCCAACCCCAAGCTGCTCACTTAAAGATAGGAGCATTGGCTTATTAAATTGTTTGTAAGACTTACTGTAGGACTTTGCATCGAGAAGCAGGTTTCGTCCTCCTGCGTGGAATCGCCTTGATATATATTTCCCCAACTGTCTTTCTTGTTGCTCTATAAATTGTTACTAACTTGGTGTCCCCACTGAACTTTCACAGATCTCAACTACTGTGGGACGTACCAGCCCTGTATGAGCGGAGGCTGCGTGCAGTAATACCGGCCCTGACAAGTACCAGTGTTCCTGCCCTGATGGTTATTCGGGTCAAAACTGTGAAATTGGTTAGTTGTATATTCTGTTTGTGTGTGTTTTGTTTCTACAGCTCCATTCATAATAATAATTAACCAGGTAATCAGTGTGCTTACTGGTTCTATAAGTAATAGAGCTTTTTCTGGCATGAAAGCAGTTAAAGTGTTGACCTGTGTCCCAGCTCCTACCCCCACCCATTTGTGTTGATTCTCTCTCTGTCTTTCTGGAGGCTATGGGAATCTGTGTTAGTCCTGGCTCAGATTCAAGCCGATCTAAGCTATAGCATTGATCAGGTCAGCTTAGCATGAAGATTATTTCCTCTTTGTTTGAAGTTGTGTTAAACCAAGCACTGTTAATGAGAATAAGATATAGAGGTATTAGCGTTGGTCACATCTTACAGAGCAAGGTGGTCTTTAACTGAGCAGAAGCAGTGATATATATATATTTTTTCTTTTTTTAAATTCCCCCCACACTTTCACCCCCCTCCCCAATCTTGCTAGTTACATTCCTGACTGCTGAATAATTAAGGTTATTTGTTTTTGTTTAATTCAGCTGAACATGCCTGCCTTTCTGATCCCTGCCACAATGGAGGAAGTTGCTTAGAGACATCTGTGGGATTTGAATGTCTGTGCGCCCCAGGCTGGACGGGTCCCACATGCATCCTAAGTAAGTGTTGCTTTGCTTGTCATATTTCTGATTAACATTTTTCTTCTTGGGGTAGAACAACTAAATACCTAGACAGCATACAGTACTTGTCCTTACAAATTTTTGTCCCCTCTCTTTAAATCCCAGATATTGATGACTGCTCCCCAAATCCATGCGCCCATGCTGGAACTTGTCAGGACTTGGTGAATAGCTTTAAGTGTGATTGTCCTTCTCAGTGGACTGGCAAAACATGTCAAATAGGTAACTTTTCTTATAATTTCTCTTTTCCTCATACAGTTTTTTTTGTTTGTTTTTCTCTTTTTACACCTGTATTCTATTCTTAAAAAAAAAAACAGCCCTGCCACCTGGTTTTTCCACAACCACCCCATCAATAGGGGTTATTTTCTTCATTCTAAACACATTTATTACAATGACCTTATATATTAATTACTGGCATTTTTAAATTACTTTATTATTTTTAAACTTGTTTTGCAGTGTATTTATATATATATATATATATATATATTTATATATATATATATATATATATATAATATATTTACACTGTGAACTCCTTGCAGCTCTCTAATTATTAAATTAATTTGACGTGGTGAAGTAAACTGCTTTCGAAAGGATTGGATTAACTGTTAACCAGAGACAAACGCAGTGCATGTGAACCACGTCGACAAAGTAGTATCCTCTAGCAGGAGGACTGGAAAAAAAGCATTCTACCATGAGCCTGTGTTCTCCCCTGTTTTGGTCCTGTGGGAAACTAGCTGTGTCTTTTCAGCCGTGTCAGCTCCCACAGACCAAGGAGTTTACAGCTGGGTTCCGAACTGTGGATGATCTCATGAAGAATGAGCTGTCTGCATTCTTTGTGAAACTCTCTAATCTGGCTGACAATGGTGAAGGAAGTTCTGCCCTGCAATGGTCAATTGGCTGTAACTGTTCTTAACAAGCAATCTGACCAAATGCCACCAGTTCTAATGAGCTGCTTTTAACACCTTCATTGCTGGTTATAAACGGTGTATTGGTGGTCAGCATATTGCGTGCCCCTCTACCTCTTTGTCCTATAGCCTCACAATTATATATGTATTCATGTCATAACGTGCTTCTTTTTTTTCTTTTTTTTTTTTGTAAGTTTATTTTAAACTGCAACACGTTGTCTTCTCTGTACAAATAATTAATGTTAGACGCATAAGTCATTGGCAGCGGTACAAGTTGAGGCAGACTGCAATAATAGGAAAAAGAGGCCTTGCTTGTATGACCTTTTGTAATAATTGAAAGCTATGAGTTTGCAAATTATGGTAGGATTAGCTTTATAAAGGGGGACTATATGCACCATAACCACTACATCTTATTTATAGTTGTTATGGTTCAAGGAGGTTCTGGATGAAGCCCCTCTGGGGTTTTATTCTGTAGTGTTGTACAGTGGATGAGCATGACAAAAAAGAAAACTTTGGACAAGTCTCGCTTACATGAATAAGTGCAAGCCTTGCTCAAATGAGCTTACAATCTAAAGATCTGATAGAATAACAAACCGTTACCAAGCACTCTAAGCGCACCTCAGTTAAAAAGGCTCACTTCCTCATTCTCTGCACAGATTTTTGTAATGCTCGAGCACGCTTTGCATGCGCTCGGCTTGCTATGAGAGTCTGTAAATACTTCCTACAAGCTGACTTTTCTGTGCCAAGTTTTGATGTCATTTTTTTTTTTTTGCGTGGTTAAATCATGGAGCCCGTGTGAATTCAAAACGGCTGTGGAGATTTGACTGCTAAATCTTCCTATGCCTGCACGGTCTGTGGCGTTAAAGATATACCCGTGTTTGCGCCAGTAATTTAAATGTGGGCCATTTTGTCACCCCATTTACTTGATTCAAACATTTTAGGTAAACTGCTTGTATGGTAGAGGCTAAATGTTGTGATGTGGAAAACTGGTAAACTCTCTGTATATTGAATACTCATCAGTAACTGTTTCTTTCAAAGATGCCAACGAGTGTGAAAGCAGGCCTTGCGTGAATGCAAACTCATGCCGAAATCTGATTGGTAGCTACTATTGTGACTGCATTCCTGGCTGGACGGGTCAAAACTGTGATACAAGTAAGCACGATATATGTGTGTGTGTAATTACTGCATAATACGTATCACCCATTTCTTGAATTTCATATTTTTTTCTTTAGCTAAATCTTCATTAATACAGGTTTCATAGTTTACAATCACTTAAAAAGGGAGTTGTCAAGTTTAGAAACAAAATATACAATTTTATCATTCATATTAGTCTGTAGCAAGGTCTTATTCTGATAACGTTGCTAAAACAATGATGTGAAGTGAATCTAGAATGAGCTCCGTAAAGGTCCCACCCATTATTATAATCTTATCTGGAGGAAAGCTTGCAGGAAATGTTACAAAAGTTCTATCTGACCAAAGCCACGCCGATTTTTGTGCATTCTTTCAACATCATTCAAGGGTATATTGTTGTTCGTGGTCAAATCTTGTAAATTTAATTGTCTGAATGCCAAAAAGATCTGTGTAAGATTTGTCTTGCCAAATGTCTCACAAACTCTGGCATGGAACCGATTATGACTCCTTGTGAAAAGTAGATACATTTTTTTTTTTTAAAAAGGTCTGTTCCAAATTACATAAAATAAATTAATTAGTCCCAAATATGCACGGTGATAGAAATTAGACTGTTAAAAACAAAAAATAAAAATAATGATGCAGAGTAGCTGTGCTACATAGCAGAAACTGGTTTTAATCGAGAAAATATTTATTTTCCCTCATATCTTCCCCCAGATATTAATGATTGCATTGACCAGTGTCAGAATGGAGCAACTTGCACGGTATGTATGTATGTTTAGTTTTTTGGTATTTCTGCCTTTTTCGTTTTACCACTAATTAATTCAATTAATAACCTTTTTGGTTTGTTCAAAACATCTTTTGTATTCAAGCAATGTATTAACAGATGTAATAATTTTTTTTTTTTTTGTATTGTTAAAACCAAATTTTTACTATTCCCCCTCCTCCCCCCCATGCTTTGTCATCGCAGGACTTGGTTAATGGATTTCGCTGTGTATGTCCACCCGGCTATGCAGGAGATCGTTGTGAGAAAGACGTCAATGAATGTGCTAGCAACCCTTGCTTGAATGGGGGTCATTGCCAGGATGAAATCAATGGATTTCAGTGTTTGTGCCCTGCTGGTTTCTCAGGAAACCTCTGTCAGGTGAGTACAAGTGAAATGCTAAACCTAGATAAGTTATTTTTCTTTTCTTTTTTTTCTTTTCTTTTTTTCTTTTTCTTTTTTTTCTTCTCCTCTCTTTCTAATGATTTGTACACTAAATACCTTCTGCTCAGTGAGGCTTGCTATAAAGTTATACTCCTAACAGCTGTCTGCCAATAAAGTGCCGGTAGGAGGGGTGTAAGGGAAATCGGATCTGTTCATTTAAACAGATCGCAAATGTTTGCGTGTTAAGTTTTGTTGTATATTCACTGTTGGCCTTTAGTGGCTGTTTTATATCCTAGATCTGTCTGCTCAGATCTAGGGGAGCTACACTTTTACATTCTGCTTTAAGTAAAATTAATGGAGGCAGTTAGATAAAAAGGTCAGATTCCAGAATGTCTGCTCTCTTTAGCGTTGAATAGGGTAATAATAAAACCTTTGTTTCTTTCTGCTTTCCCTTCAACATTTTACAGTTGGACATAGATTATTGTGAACCCAACCCTTGCCAGAATGGAGCTCAGTGCTTTAATCTTGCCACCGATTACTTTTGTAACTGTTCTGAAGACTACGAGGGAAAGAATTGTTCACACTTAAAAGATCACTGTCGCACTACGCCTTGTGAAGGTAGGTGTAGCCTTGTACGGCTTGCGTTTCGCTCGCGAGCTTGGTTGCCTGGGCTTTAAATTAAGAGTGTGGTAACCATTTAAGTGATTGTGAACCACACACTGTGCTAATAAAATCCAGCTGTGCCTCTAGCCTCCGTTCTTCTCATTCAGCGAGCTTGACTCTACGTTCCTTGAGTTATAGAGATCTGATTGAGCCAGATTCAGCAGAATAGCATTCTTAGGGAGTATGTTTAACCCTGTCAGGAGTTGGCCAGTCCCCTACAATTCAGATTGCCAGCACTAACGGTGTTACTGGTCTTGCTCTGAACCTCAACAGATAGTGATCTACAACAGACTTTTTTATTTCGATTCCAAGATTTGGAACATGCTGTATGTACATTTAGTTTTTCTGATCATGTGTTTATCCAGTAGCTGTAAATCTGAAAACAAGGAATACGTTTATTGCAAAAAACATATTACTTTGGAATTTAATCCCTAAATTAAAAATTGTGGAACATGAAAAGGGATTTCAGATTTTAACCTACTATAGAAAACTGTTAAGTTGTTTAGGCGTAACATTTTCCAGAACTTTTGATTTAGTGAATAATCCCCCCCCCCTTCTCTTTCTTAGAATATTTTTAACGGCTGAGATAACTTGGGGTTCTATACAGGGTTGGTAAATACTAAAACAAGGTTTACACTAATTGCTCATAAAATCTTTCTTCTGGTGTTAGAAACCCCTACACAGTTTTTCTCTGAAATATGAATTTAGGACAGTATAGCTTTGGATTTGGAAAAATTCTCTGCCACTGTCTTCACTTTGACTATTGTGGCTCAAACCTTAAAATTTTCTTTGAATTTCCAACAATTCGTAAGTTAGTGAATAACCCGGCTCACCCACCGTTTTTAATATAAAATCACATGGTTTCCTATACTTTTTATTAGGAATCCGAGCCCTCCTAGTGCCATTTAAATTGCTAACTCCATTCTTCATGTGGCTTTTTTTTTTTTATGTGACATTTATGGGTTATCTTTATCTATTCCACTAGTGATTGACAGCTGTACGGTTGCTGTGACGTCAAACAGCACTCCAGAAGGTGTGCGCTATATTTCATCTAATGTCTGTGGGCCCCACGGTAAATGCAAGAGTCAGTCCGGTGGCAAATTTACCTGCGAATGCAATAAAGGTTTTACGGGAACCTATTGTCACGAGAGTAAGTATGTTTGTATTTTTGTTGAGCCTTTTCACAAATGTTTCATCTTCTCATACACTTCTTGACACCATTAAATTTTTTGTTTTAAGATTATTCTTTTTTTGCCATCCTCAAATAATGGGATTTGTGAAGTTTCATGTAGGTATGGCTGTAATCTGTACACATTGATAGATAAACCATTGTCAAATCTAGAGCTGAAGATGGATACTCAAGTTGGAAAACAGAGCATCTCCTTACGGCCTTGCACAATTTTTTTGTATCCAGGTTCTCACTACGTGTAACCACCCAGCGAGTTATTCCTAGTCTTTCTTTTGTGACAAAACGGTACAGGCTGAGAATATTTTAATCTTTATATTGTGCTAGTCCATGTCTAGTTAAACTGTTGTTCTTTATCATATGACCCGGAGTCCTTGATTTAATAAGTTTTCTAAAAGGTTCAATACTGTTAGAAAAACTTCCAAATGATTCATCTACAAATATTCTTATATACTTTTTTTTTATCTTATTTTTATTTTTTATTTTTTTATTTGAGGAGTTTATTGATTTTTAAAATAAATGGAGAGTGTACAGAGGTAAAAAGTAGGGGGAAGGTACAGCACATATATTTAGCATAAAAAAGTAGTACATACAATGTTTAAGATAGTTAACTTTCCACTGTGGGTTTGTCGGTAAAGCTACAACGGTGTATGGGTCAAACAGTAGGCCTACGGTGTTAAAGTTCCCATATAATTTTTTTAATAGTGACTTCTGTAGATAAATCCCTTGGAAACGTCTTCTAGCCGTATTGAATCATTTGGAAAGCTAATTAAACCGAAGCAGGGTTTATGTGGTCAATTTTACTTGTGTTTATTTTGCTCTAGGTCGAGTTATTAAATCGGCACACTTCGTTCAGCAAAATGTAACCATGTTATTTCATTTGTTTTTCTAGATATAAATGATTGTGAAAGCAACCCCTGCAAAAACAGTGGAACATGCATCGATGGCGTCAACTCTTACAAATGTATCTGTAGTGATGGCTGGGAAGGCACGTACTGTGAAACCAGTAAGTCCTGTCCCTTCCTGAAAGGTCAATATTGAGGGGCTATATTGGAAGATGTTAATAGGCTGTCCTTCACTGGTCTAACATGCCTTTTAAAAAGGATAGGGAGAACAGTTTGTGTATGGTAGCTTGATCTGTCACAAGATACTCCTTTCGTATCCTGTTGATTGTAAATTATAAAAATGAAAATTAGTTTAGTTACTTCTCATCTGGAACTGGTGGGTGAAGGCTGCAGGATTCCGCTGCTGTTTCCTTCATGCAAAATCCAAAGCTAGTCTTTGAAGGTACCAAACTCTGCTGGATTTGGAAAAGGGGATATCTCAGATCCTAAGGAAATGTTTGCTTTTAATATATCCCTCCCAGAGGGTAAACTGGCAGAGATCTAAAATTGCTGCAGCTGAGCTGGGCACAGTGTTTCTCTGGACTTAAACTGGATAAACTGAAAATGGGCAATGTAATAGTTATAGCTAACAATCAAAATTTGTATTTTTTTTTTTTGCTTATTGTTTTTTAGACATCAATAACTGCAGTAAAAATTCTTGCCACAATGGAGGTACTTGTCGGGACTTGGTTAATGATTTCTACTGCGAATGCAAGAATGGGTGGAAAGGAAAAACGTGCCACTCCCGTAAGTGTGTTTGTGAGTGTGTTATACTGTGCCTTAAATTGAAGGATTTTAGGAATGCATAGTGCTCAAAACTGTCATCTCTTCTTTACAGAAGACAGCCAGTGTGACGAAACCACGTGTAACAATGGGGGGACATGCTATGACGAAGGAGACACGTTCAAATGCATGTGTTCTCCTGGTTGGGAGGGAACCACTTGTAACATAGGTAAGAATACACAACACTTGGCTTAAAATACGTTTCATTAAAACTGTGCAGTTTTAAATGCGTTTTATATAGTTATTGTGATTGATTTATAACATAGTTCATTATTGTGTGGGTTGGATTTTTCTATTTCTTTTTTTTTTTTTGTATTCCTTACCCCCAGCAGTAATATGCAGAAAATAAATTAAAACCAAAAAAAACATCCTGCTCGCTTTCATTACTTGTCTGTTCCCTGCTCAACTTTCATGCTTACTTTGCAATGTTTTCCTCATAGCAAGAAACAGCAGCTGTTTGCCAAATCCCTGCTTCAACGGTGGAACATGCATAGTCCGCGGGGACTCTTTCACTTGTGTTTGCAGAGAAGGCTGGGAAGGGCCGACATGCTCTCAAAGTAAGTTTGCTGACGGGGGTTATCCGACGAGACAATTCGCTCATCATACCACCCTGTGATATCTTTTAAATTAAAACCAAAAGTCAGGATCGTTTGAAGTTCTTTTTAGCGTCACCTGAATCATGTTGTGTTATTTTTTTAATAAAATTAAGTAACAGGCTTGACCTAGGCATGAGAAAGTTGCAAATGAGATAACAAGAGACAGATGTTGCCCTGTGTTTTCATAAATTAACTCTAGCCAAAGGCTTGTCTGCTTCCACTCACTTTTTATATATATATATATCTATATATCTTTATCTTCCTGTGTTCATGTGTTTTTAAATGCATTTAATTATAGTGTGCACATGATTGATTTTTGTTTATAGATATGTAGAATTCATGGTACTCATGCAGTGTTGTTTAATGTGAATGGTTTTGTTTTGTTTTCTAGATACTAATGACTGCAATCCGCATCCGTGGTAAGTACAGCTTTTGCAAAACACACACACACACACACAAACATTTGCCTTCCTCCGTAATCTGGAAGCAAAATTGAACAGTGCCAAATGGCATCTGTCTGTGCTTTTTGTTTTTCAATTTAATCTGCCCACAGTACAAAGTAGGGCTGGGCAAACCGTAGATCCCCAGATCTTGTAGAACAGCAACTTTCATGAAACTTTGCAATTCTAAATGCTGGCAAAGCATCATGGCAGTGTAGATCCCCAGTTGTTTTTAAAACTACCGCTTCCATGATGCTTTGTGATTATAAAGGCATGCAAAGTAGTGTGTGTTGTAGTTCTACAACATCTAGGAATCTACCTATTGGGCACCCATGTTCTAGAACATCTGGGAATCTTTCGTTTTCCCAACCCTGGTATAAAGTGGCCCCCTGAAGTCCAATGAATTGTCAGAAATGTCTTAATAACCAGGGATTGCCTTTGTACTGCAGGGGTTAAATCTAAAAATCATAGGCCCTTATTGAAACTGGATTGGGTTTTTTTTTTATCTGTATCTGTATCTGAATGCTTTATCTATCTGGGTGTGTAAACATTGTTAAATGCTGTGTACAAAGATGTACAGTAAGTGAATGCATTTTTTATGTATTGATTTCTTCTTGTAGCTACAACAGTGGGACATGTGTGGATGGAGACAACTGGTACCGCTGTGAATGTGCTCCTGGTTTTGCTGGCCCAGACTGCAGGATTAGTAAGTATTACATCCTATGTATCTATAAATAAACCACATTCTAGAATTAGTAGACTTCAGATTAGATTGTTCGGATATGATTTTTGTTTTGTGGATTTTTTAAATTTTTTTTTTTATATTTCAAATGTTGGTATAAAGCATAGTCTATTCATTCATTCCTTTAAATTCTGTATATACATATTCCCAAGCTAATGTATATGCTTGTTTAGTGATGTTAAAATCCAGTTACTATGCATGTTGCCATAATACCCATTCCCATTCATTTTTTCTTCTTCTCTTTTTTCAAGACATCAATGAGTGCCAGTCTTCGCCGTGTGCTATTGGAGCAACTTGCGTTGATGAAATTAATGGTTTCCGCTGCATCTGCCCACCAGCTCGCCTTGGTCCAAGATGTCAAGAAGGTTAGTTTTGATTTCCTATGTTCGTATAGTGACCTTTCCATATCAATGTACTACTTGATATTCTACAGTGCTGGGTAGTTCTCCTGGTTTTGGGATAAATCTCTTACTTTGGCCTGTTGTGATAATCGTGGGCATACTTCTGAATACAGATCTTCATTCTTTTAAAATGTTAATAGTGCAAAGGTTCTCAAACTTCTGATTTGCTTGTTCAGTTACAGGAAAGCCTTGCTTAACAAACGGTCAAATCATGCCAGACGGAGCAAAGTGGAACGATGATTGCAATGCTTGCCAGTGTCTCAATGGAAAGGTTACCTGCTCAAAGGTATGTACAGTTTACAGAACAACTTCCTTCCTGTTAACACAGTTCAGAGAGACCTACAAATGGCAATAATGCAGTTGTGGCATCAGTTCAGAGACGCAAGGCACTTGGTAGCATCGTTGGAGCCCTCTTATCCAACCAAATTAAAATATGACTTTCATGTCACATCCTGCTGATCACTTTAGTTATCCATTTAGCACAACGTAAATGAGAAGTTATTGAATGTTTTCTAGCTTTGTTGGTAATTCATAATACGTATTTTTGTTTCTAGGTGTGGTGTGGCCCTCAACGTTGTGAGATGCACAGTAAAGGTAGCCACCAGTGTCCAGCTGGACAGACCTGCGTTCCCATCAAAGGCAACCACTGCTTTGTTCCTCCCTGCACAGGCGCAGGCGAATGCTGGCCGTCCAATCAGCCGCCAGTTAAAACCAAGTGTAATGCGAATACCAGTTACCAAGACAGCAGCTGCGCCAACATCACTTTTAGCTTTAACAAAGAAATGATGTCTCCCGTAAGTACAGGGATACCGTTGGCATAATGTTTAGGAAACAAAATGCAAGGGCTATTAAATCTATACTAAAATTGTTGAAAACTGACTTGTTTCTGGTCACCAATTAGATGCTATTTAATTGCAAAGCCTGCAAACTGTATTGCTGCTCTGATTTCAAAATATGTGGGAATGTACATTGACAGGTTAGGATAGGGGTCGGCAATCACCCACACTTCAGATGTTATGGACTACAACTCCCACAAGGCTGACAGCCATAATGCTGGCAGAGCATTAGGGGAGATGTAGTCTACAGCACCTGGAGTGCCAATGTTGGCCTACCCCTTTGTTAGGATATGCCAACTGTATTAATCTGTTCACTGATATACTCATGATCCAGCCTCATACCTTACAAAGTTGGCAAGTAAATATTAAGTGGACTGAAGCCATGTTAATTTATGCCATTTTTGGAGCAGCCTCTCTGTAGATTTTTAAATCTTCAGTTATTAAAGGGACACTATAGACACCAAAACAACTTCAACAACAGATCATGCTGCTGTAGTCTCACTGCTCAGTTCTCTGGGATTTAGCAGTTAAATCACTTTTGTTTCTGCCCATCTGCCCTAGCCACACCTCCCCTGGCTGTGACTAGCACATTCTGCATGGAAAAAAGTTCAATTTTTGATTTAGTTATTACCTTACTTTAGACATTTCTCTCTTGCTCTGTAAATTGAGGTTCTTGTAGGGTATAGGAGGCTACTAACAAAGCAGGGTGATAAGGAATTCTAAATTAAACAGAATTTACAATAAAGGAAGTGTAAACATTAGATGTTTCTTTACATGAAGTGTTTAGGAAGCTGTGGGAGTGACATTCAGGGAGGTGGGACTAAGGCTACATAAACAAAGTGATATAACTCCTAAATGGCAGAGAATTGAGTAGTGAGACCGCAGGGGCACGATCTCTACACCAACTGCTTCATTAAACTAAAGTTGTTTTGTTGCCTATAGCTCCATATATAAATATATTTGGTAGTCCAGCCCAACTTCCTGGTTTTGTGCATCTCCCTGTCACAGGTGCCTCATTCCTTGGCCCTATTTAACCTTGTACTGCAGAGTGCCCAGGAGGAAGTTTTTCCTTAATAAATGGGTTAATCTCATAAGACTGGGCAATTGGCTGTTAGAGTAGGACCTGCCAAAAATGGGGTACATTGATATTGTGGCAGGGCTATGCAAAGCTTGATCATATATTATAACGAAGACTCCATTATTTTTGACTAGATTAGGGGTTTAAAAAATAATTCTGTGAGCTTTGAAGTAGCTTTTTTTTAGTGAAGGATTCAGTGTGTTGGATCGTGTAATCCTGCAAAGTAAACATTGTAATTTCTACAAAACTGCAGTGTTTACATTGTGGGATTAAAACTGCAAGGCCACTCCTCCCAGACCACTGCATTGAAATGAAGTAGTGTGGTGAACTTAGTGGTCTTTTGTGCCAAAATCTTAGATAACTGCATATGAAAGCACTTCAGTCCTTTTTTATAATTTTTTTGGTCTTGATGAATCTTAATAACCCATCTATAAAGTCAGAGCATCAGACATATACAATATATGTATTTTTATTCTCCATTTTATTTTAAACCGTTTTTAGTTCTGTTTTGAATACTTTCTTACAATGTGATTTGACTAATTCCAAACTGAATTTACGGTTTGTTTCATTAGGGTCTCACAACAGAGAGCATTTGCAATGAACTGAGGAATCTTAACGTTTTGAAGAATGTTTCCGCAGAATATTCCATCTACATTACTTGTGAGCCGTCTCCTTCGGCAAACAACGAAATTCATGTCGCTATAGTAAGTAGAATCCATGTGTCTGTTTTTTTTTTTTGTTTTTTTTTCTGTTACAAAAATACAAACAAACCCTGACTGTTGAACATAACATAAAATGTGATGCTGGTATGCTGTCACAAACTGATTTTACTGACAAAATGCTGAACGCAGTCTTTTGGAAGCCTTTCGGCAAAGGTGTTCTTTGCAAACTAAGCACCAAGACGTCATATTTCCATCGTAAAACCTGTATTTAGACATATGTAATCTAGACTGACACGTGGCACTGTAGACAAACCAGAGTCTATTCTTTGAAAGAATGGTTTAGGTACATAGAGGGACTGAGTACAAAGAGGTAAGCCTACAATGTTATTCTTCAGAGGCCTTTAAAATGAGGATCCTTAAAATAACTCGTGAACACCCAAAAGTGAATCTTCCCAGTTAATAATTGAGGCGGGGGGAGGGGAGGGAGCCTATATAAAGCCTAATTTAATACTTTGCTTTGGGTAGGTTTGTCTCAGGCCAAGCTAGGTATGACCATAGAATATTTAACATTGGCAATTGTAACAATTGTGTGTTTTATTTAGTTTACAATATGTTTTCCCTCTTTGCAGTCTGCTGATGACAGTCGAGATGGCAGAAACCCAGTTAAGGAAATTACTGAACGGATCATAGAACTTGTCAGTAAACGAGATACCAACAACACTTTTCTTGCATCTGTAGCAGAGGTCAGAGTGCAAAGAAGACATACGAAAAACACAACGGGTGAGTGCATATATGGTCTAAAGAGAAACACGGAACATTGAAATATCACCTAAATGTGATGTAGTGGTTTAAAATTGAAGATCGTATGCACGATTTGCGATTTTTATTAAAAATCTTTTTTGGATCAATAATTGCTCTTCTCTATTGCCCCACCCAAAAACAGGCATATTTTAAATAGTTAAACCAAATGGCCATTCCTCCACCATAACCACAACATAACAATCCGGGTTTATTTTTTTGTTTTTTTTTCCCTTTCTGGTTTCCCAGACATTGGAACACCTCCATCTATGATTACACTGCTAGTTGTCAAACTATCATTCTCACGATATACTATATATAGAGTAACTGCTGCATCTTTACAGCAGAATCCATAAAAAAAAGTATTTTATTATAAACAGGGATGTAGCTCGACCTGCTTTAACTGCAGTCTTTTTGGAAACTCAGAATGGTTTGACTACTACACTATCTTGTGTAGCTACGTTTTATTGATTTATTTTTGCAGAATCACAAATGGCACACTTCAGATTACACACCAACAGCCCATTTTATAATGGATAGAATGCCTGAATTGTATGTGACACACAGTTTCCCGTGAAATTGATGTATGGGAAATGCCAGTGTGTCTTCGCTATGCTATGTACAGGCTTTCAGCTGTCTAGGCAGCACAAGTCTACATGGGGAGACTGATTGTTTTGGGTTTCCATACCACCATTGTGGGAATTTCCCCATTGTCCTTGGAATTGTTTTGTTGCCATTATGCCACCCCCCATCTGATTTTTAGTTATTTATTTATTTTCTTTTGTATAAATTTAGAAAGGGATGCGGTGTAGGCTACTAGGATTTTTTGTTGTTTGTTTTGCTTTGTTTTTGGGGGGATGAGGCGTGTTTGAAAATATTTTTTTTTTTTTTTTAAATGAAAGATTATCTTTTACATTTTCTTGAGGAAAAGCTGTAAAATGGTCCAAATAAGTCTAAAATGTAAAATTAAATATAATAAACAAAGTAGGGAAAAGGTTAAGAGGGGTGGTTAGCAGAGACTGCGTTATGTTGTAGATGGATAACTTGGTTGTGTGCTTGTCTCAAGCTGTCTTATTTTCCAGAAATAGTTAAACTAATGTTGCAGTTTGCAAATGTCTCTACCTTTAGAACCATGCATGCATAACGTGCATTGGTAGCAGAATATTTACTAAGCTGTTCAAGCTCTTTCCTTGAAATGTACATTTTTCTTATCTGTATTGACATTCTAAGTAACGTAAAATTACGATGCAGGTCTTAATATGTTTTTGGAAATAGTCCATTTTCTTTTTCCCTTTTAATAAACTTCACGTTTTGCTTAGGTTTTTTTTTTTGTTATTTTTTTAAAATGTTCCTCCTCCCAGCAATATGTCTGACCTACAGCATAGTTCTAGTTAATTATCGACCAAGCATGTTAAACCAGACCCCTGTTAGATGGGCAACACAAACATTCTATAAGCCATACGCTGAGTATTTATTTCATTATCTCTGTTGAAAACAGAATCTGAATGTTGACTTTTTTTTAAAGGGGAGAATTGCAGTGCTATAGGGGGAAAGATACGTGTGCTGTTTAGATTCAACATGTATGCCTTTCCTTTACAGATTTTCTGGTGCCATTGCTCAGTTCGGTAGTCACCGTGGCATGGATCTGCTGCCTGGTAACCGTATTTTACTGGTGCATCCGAAAACGCCGAAAGCAAAGTAACCACAGCCACACCGGATCCGAGGACAACACCACCAACAACGTGCGAGAGCAGCTAAACCAAATTAAAAATCCCATTGAGAAACACGCAGCGAACAGCGTCCCCATTAAAGACTACGAAAACAAAAACTCCAAAATTGCAAAAATAAGGACACACAACTCTGAAGTCGAAGAGGACGACATGGACAAGCACCAGCAGAAGCCCAGATTTGTAAAACAGCCAGCTTACACACTAGTAGACAGAGATGAAAAACCACCCAACAGCACTCCAACAAAACAGCCAAACTGGACAAATAAACAGGATAACAGAGACTTAGAAAGTGCACAGAGCTTAAACCGGATGGAATACATTGTATAGCAGACAGCGGCACTACCATGCAGAGCTTGTGGCTGCTGTAAAGGGCTCGGAATTTCTAGTTCTTAAACCGTTGTGTAATATTTGAGTCTAAGGCTATTATTTACTTAGAATCCCTATGTTAATTTAAGTTTTGACAAGCTGGCTTACACTGGCAATGATAGTTGCTGTGGTTGGCTGGAATACCAAGTGCTGCATTTCACATCTATGCAAAACTAGTCAAAAGTGCCCTAATGTAAATTCAGACGCAGCTGAAAAACCTTGGAGGTCCTTCATATGACATTGTATAGCCTTCTTAGCTCTTATGTTATTTTTTTTGTTTCTTCATCTTAAGGATTTTCATCAAATGTCCATAACAATGCAGTCTTTAGAATAATACCTTTTTTTTTTATTTATATTTATTTTATTTTATTTTATTCCTTATTTTTTTGTTGTGTGTATATTTGGTTTTTATGGTGACGTACAACTAGTTCTGTATTTGAAAAGTGCCTTTGTAGCTCCGAACCACAGCAACTATCAAAAGTTTATTTATTTTTAATTTTTTTTTTTCATTGCATTTTGTGTTGGGAGGGAGGGGGGCGGGAGGGACTGTCGGCTGTTGCTGGTGAAATGAAGAAATGTCAAGTAGAAGTTTTTTGTTTGTTTTTTTTGTATAGACCTGTAAATATTTTTTTTTTTTATTAATCACTGTGTATATTTGAGTTATTAACTTAATAATCAAGAGCCTTAAATATCATTCCTTTTTATTTATATGTAAGTGTTTAGAGTTGAAGGTATTTGATAGCTTTTGTGGCTTTTTTTTTTTTTTTTCCTTCAAATTAATTTCTTGTTACATGTTACCTATATGCCAAAATTTAAGGTGTTCTAAAATTGTTTATTTTTTAACAATAGGATGGGCGCACATGCCTTGTTGCAGGTTTTTGTACAATGTCAGATGTTTAAAAAAAAAAAAAAATACACCTTTTTATATAGTATCACTTTAAAAAAAAAAAAAAAGAAAAGGAAAAAAAAAATTGTGTTGTAAAGTTCCGGCTGACCATTTTGAAAGTTAGACTTTAGAACAATCTTTGCTGCTTTGGCTTTGATATAAAAAAAAAAAAAAAAAAAACATTCAATAAAATAAATGAGTGACTGGCAGATATTCTGCTGCAAGGCAGTTCAAGGGAACAAACAGTTATTTCTTTCTGTACAAGAATTGTGAGGGATATGATTTCAAAAAACAAAATAAAAAAAGTGAAAATGGGAAGCACAGCAATACATTCTTGTAAATTGAGATTTGTTTTTAGTTTTTATTTTTTTTACCATGAAATGTACTACAGAACCACTTGTAGATATGATTATTTTATTTTTAATTTCTTTTTTTACGTGCTGACACTAGAAAGTATTCTATTAAGCTAGTCTTTACTTGAACAGTAGAAACCCAGTGATCACTGTTGCTTTGCCATACCTACACTGCCTGCCTTAATAACGTTGACTAAATTTACAACTATGGTATTGCTGGAATGTGCAAAGGGTTGCAGAGCAACTCCTTTAACATGCCTGCTACTGTAGACTTGTATAGTACGATTACTATGTTTAAATCGACAGCCGAAAATGAAACATAGTAATAATCAATTAGCCACTCAGATGCTGAAGATAGCCCGTATTGTGACATTAGTGTTGAAACTTAAATACAACTTTTTGATGTGCTGTTCCAGACGATACATTTTGAAAAGTAATATTTATTAAAAAAAATTTTGTATGAAAACCTAAGAATTTGCCTTTTATGTTTTTGTTTTGCTTTTCTCAAAGTGTGTGTGATATTGAAATATTGGTTATATCAAAGAAGAATATCTGAAGGTCAAACTTGGCTTGGATTAATAGTTAAAGGGGGACACTATAGGCATCCAGACCACTTTATCTAATTGAAGTGGACTGTGTTCACTGTCCCTGTCCTCCTTAGTCCTACAATGTAAAACATTAAATTTTTAATGGTGCTTCCTGGAGTTTCAAGGAGTTTGATGTCCTCATGAGGACGTCAAGCGGCAGAGAGAACCCCATAGGAAAGCATTAAGGCGCTGCGCATTAGGCCCACCATCTGATGATGTCTGAGGAGGCGGACTGTGAACCGGAAATGGGTAAGTGAATAAAGGGTTATTTAACCCTTTACATTGCTGGGTGGTGTGCGGGGGCTGAGGAACACGGTCGTGTTAGGAATATATCTTTTTATTTTATTTTTTTCATAACACCAAAATGTTCCTTTAAAACCTGTTTTGACATCTATCTGATCTCTGGCAGGCTCTTCATGGGGTAACTTTCTTAACTGTTACGTCTAAAGTATAGCTGCTGTAAATTCAGATATTAGATTATTTTATTTTAAATGACTTGCAAAGGGATACAATTACTACAATGAAGTAATACAGTGATCTAAGGTCTTAAAAATGCCCTCCTGTTTTAGATTTTGTGACAGTTTTTATGATGAGATCTTACATCCATTTTTGTGTCTTGTACATAAAATATATATATTATTGTATCAAGTAACTAGAAAGTGGTCTTGCGTATCGGCTAGAAAATGGTTTCGGCTCCTCAACCAATAATGTGTCTTCCACTTGTTCCTATGGGAAAAGGTGCAACATTTTGGTACATGTGATGTTCTACATTTGCCAGGCTGTTTCTCCCACAGGAATGAGTGGGAGTGCGTACGGAGTGTGGAATTGAGATCTGCAGTCTGTTGTTCAGGGCTCGAAAAATCCAATGTGCTAGCTCTCCATGGCAAGGAATTGGAAACGTGCACATGGAGTTGCCTATTTGACCATTCAGGACGTGTTTGCCTGTCGTTGACCAGATGTTGATGGCTGGCTAATTGTTTTATGTATGTACGTGTGTGGGTATTTACTAAACTCCAAATTTGTATCAAACTGAAATCCCAAAGGAAGATCAGTTTTTGCAGAAAACTTATTTTTATAAGGGTGAACAAAATGGAACACTGACCTCCTCAACCAAGAAGCCATGTTAACTGCAGTCCGAAGACCATTTTGGAGGTGGCCTGTTGCACCTTGAACTCAAATTAAAAATCAAAAGTAGGTATTGGTCCCCTCATATTGGACAGTGACAAGTTCCACCATTATTATTATTTTATTATTTATATAGCTCCCGCAAATTCCGTAGCGCTGTAACTCATGTCCCTGTCCTAATACTTGGAAATTTAGCCTTTATCGGGGTAATCAAGAACTAAAATGTGTTGATGAACCATATTAACAGTAAGGAGAGTTTTCTCCATATCTCGCAGGTACCAGCCATGGGAGACTTTATCAACAGTAGGAACTTTGCAGCCTAGACACAGCTGCCCTAAACACGTTATTCCTACCTTTTTAATATCTAAATTCAAGATTCCAAGTTGTTGCAATCATCCCGGTGCAACTTGGCCACAATGGGAAGTAAACAGGAATATTTCTAATAACAAGCAGAATATCACATATCGACACAATAGTTTACACATGATAATTTTGCTTCTTAATTTGCCTATTGATTTACCATTTATAGTGTGTACTTGTATATATCTGTGTATCTTTTTTTTTTCTTCTTTATTCATTTTTTTTTTTTTTTTTTATACGCCTACTTTTTAAATTACATTGAAACCTGGGTGGCCCTACATCCTGTTTAACAAGTCCTGTCCGGCTGAAATGTTAAAGGATAGGTCGTACATTAAATGAAATGAATGCCTTTCCTAGTTCTAAAGCTGGTAGCAACATGAATTGCAAGGATTCGACTTTCCATTTTATTGGCTTTGTGATAATTGCAGAGTTCAAAGTGTCAAAAAGACAGCAAAAGATGTAAAGGAAGTGGACTATGGGACGTGTCCCACTCTCGGTTTATGTTTATCCTTCGAAAAGCATGATTCATCAAAGTGGAACAGAAATAGACTTGCTTCCCCATTTAAAAAAGGATCAGTTTTCCTCTATAATGGCTGCAATAAAAGCATTTATTAAAATATATCTATGTGGGTAGCTTGACAATGAGAGAGGGGTAGTGTGGGAACACTGTATAATATATAGGTTGCTTATTAGATTATTATTTTTTTTTCTGAGTAAATGACAGTGTGGGAAAACACAAAAAAGAGACTTCATGCTCCCAGTAATAGCTTGCCTTTTTGTGTTTAACGGATTCACCACTAACAAAAATGGAGAATAAAGTTCTAAATAAAGCTCTCAAATATGTCCCATCAAAATCAATAAACAAATTTGATTATGTGGATCTAAATAAATTTAAAAGACAATTGTGTATTAAAAATTTTTTCTTGAGGAATGATAGACACCCTTTTGAGAACCAACCCATCCAATCAATATATGCTCATACCAATTTAAGAGATAAGTCTAATTTTTATCCTAGCAATTTTATCTCTCACGAGATAATTGCTTTTGAGAAGGCAGTAATGGAAGATATAAATAAAACTAAAGTATCTAAACAAAAAACCTTAAGTAAAGAAGAATGGATGACCTTGAAAAAGTTACAGAAGGATCAAAACAGAGTAATCAAGCCTGCAGACAAAGGGGGCGGCATAGTGGTAATGAACACACAAATACATAGAGGAAGGCTTACGATTGGTAAATGATGAAAATACTTATAAAAAGTTATTGAAAGACCCAACTAAAGAAATAGAGAAGTTTAGGGAATTTTTCAATATAGGCAAAGAGAAGAGAATCCTAAAAAACAAGAATACAAATATTTAAACATACAGACACCGAAGATTACGGTCTTTTATCATTTACCAAAAGTCCACAAAAATCAGACAAATCCACCAGGAAGACCCATAGTTTCGGGAATTAATTCAATATCTAGCAGGCTCTCAGAGTATATCGATAGATGCCTGCAACCAATAGTACAAACAAGTAGGAATCATCTTAAGGACACTATTAATATTTTACAAAGCCTAGAAACAATTCAATGGGAATCCAACTATGTATTAGTCACTTCAGACGTAAGTTCATTATACACAATAATTAATCACACAAAAGGATGTAAAG